GAAAAAGCACTTATGGAACAGTTTACAAAGCTACACTTGAAGATGGAAGTCAAGTTGCAGTGAAGAGATTGAGAGAAAAGATCACCAAAAGCCAAAAAGAGTTTGAGAATGAGATTAACGTCTTGGGAAGAATCCGGCATCCGAATCTCCTTGCACTTAGAGCTTATTACTTAGGCCCTAAAGGAGAGAAGCTTGTCGTCTTCGATTACATGTCTAGGGGAAGTCTTGCCACATTCCTCCATGGTAAGTTTGATACTAAAGCCTCAAAGTTTGATACTTTTGCTTAAAAAAGTGACATTTTGTAACTCTGTTTTCAAATTTTGAAATTGCAGCAAGAGGACCAGATGTTCATATCAATTGGCCTACAAGGATGAGCTTAATAAAGGGAATGGCTCGTGGCTTGTTCTACCTTCACACACACGCCAATATCATCCACGGAAACTTAACATCAAGCAATGTGCTTTTGGATGAGAACATTAACGCCAAGATCTCAGATTACGGTCTTTCAAGGCTAATGACAGCAGCAGCAGGATCAAGCGTAATTGCAACAGCTGGTGCGTTAGGTTACAGAGCACCTGAGCTCTCTAAGCTGAAGAAAGCCAACACGAAAACCGATGTGTACAGCCTCGGTGTGATCATATTGGAGCTTTTGACTGGAAAATCTCCGAGTGAGGCCTTAAACGGTGTGGATTTGCCTCAATGGGTTGCTACTGCGGTTAAAGAAGAGTGGACTAATGAGGTTTTCGATTTGGAGCTGTTGAATGATGTGAACACAATGGGTGATGAGATTTTGAATACATTGAAACTGGCGTTGCATTGTGTTGATCCTACACCATCAACAAGACCTGAAGCTCAACAAGTGATGACACAACTTGGAGAGATTAGACCTGAAGAGACAGCAACAACATCTGAACCATTGATTGATGTTCCTGAAGCTTCTGCTTCCACAAGTCAATAGAAAGATTGGAGAGTTTTGGTAGTGTGGAAATGTTGCAGAGTAGTAGTAGATTTTTTGCAATTCTTTAATTCTTCCAAGTAGTTTTTTTCTTTGTTTGTTTCAGTGTTTTGAACCATTTCATCATCAGTTTATGTTTGTATATAGTGTAAACTGGTTATGTTTCTCTTTCATCAAGTAATCTCTGTCTTTTGAGCATTAGTGAAAAAAAATGGGTTTTTTGAAGAAGTTACTACATGAAATGGAGAGAACATTGAGAAGATTGGAACATCCAACCAAATTTCAATATGTACCTTTACTTACGCAAGAATGAAAATGCTCACACATTTGTCAAAACATTTACACATACAGTACAAAGATAGGCAATTGTCAGAAAAATGTAAACCAGTATAATCAAAGTTAAGGCAGCAAGTGCCAGGATTCTATTTTAGAAGATGATATGGATTTCAAAAATGTAAATTCTATTAATCTTAGGAAAGAAAGTTGTGAATTTATAAATTTGTCAAGAGTAATCAAATTGTTAAGTTTCCAATACAATTTATAAAATTTAGTTTTAATATCAATCATAATAATTGTAGAATTTAGAGACTATGCTTTCCTAAACTTCCCACTTAAAGAAATGGAAAAAAAAAATATGGTAGAAATTTTCTAAACCTATACTAATTACTATTTTCAAAAAATGTACATATTATTGATTTTATTCCTTGTTCTCACCAAGAAAAATGTCTTTTCTCTTCTTTTTCTCTTTACAGAAAAAGCCGAAAAGGAAATAAGAAACGTCCAAAAACAAAAGGGCCCAAAATTACACAAATACCAATGCAAAAAATAAAAAATATCTTCCAGCAAAGCAAAGTACCACACGCCAGACACGCGCCTAAATCCACCTCTCAATCTCGTCCATCCACGTGTCACAAATCCACAGCCTCATCATCCCATATCACCTCGCTTTATATTCCCTCCTCCGCCACCACCAATCGCCTCACCACAAAACCCTTTGTCCTCCAATTTCGTTGCACACAAAAGAAAGAAGATAAATCTCAGAATTTTCCCAGAAAAAATGCTTCTCAAAGCTGCTTCTACTTTTTCTATCTTGAACATTCATGGAGAGAAGAAAGACCTCTCTCCTCTCTTCTCCATGTCGTCTCCGATTTCTTCTGGAAAATCCGGGAATCTCTCGTTCGCTCTTCGTGCTTCCAAGAGTTCAACCACCACAAGCACGTTGAGTGGCGTTGTGTTCGAGCCTTTCGAAGAGGTTAAGAAGGAGATGGATCTAGTTCCATCTGGTCAACAGCTTTCTCTTGCTCGTCATTTGTACTCCCCTGAGTGCGAAGCCGCCGTCAATGAGCAGATCAAGTACGTTTTTCGTCTTAGATCGAAACAATTTGGTGATTCTTTCCATGGATTTGAACTTTTGGTGTTGTAAATCTGTCGATTGAGTCAATTTTTGCTTCAACTATATGGATGAGATTGGCTTTTTTTTAGTATCTCATGAATCTGGATTTTGGTTTGATGCAGTGTTGAATACAATGTGTCGTATGTCTATCACGCGTTGTATGCGTATTTCGATCGTGACAACGTTGCCCTCAAGGGTCTCGCCAAGTGAGTTTTTCTCTGGAAATACTTGAGCTTATTCAAATCTCTTTGCTTATATTCGTTCTATGTGTTGATTAATCATCTGTTGTTTTGTGTGTTTTTGCTGAATCAGATTTTTCAAGGAATCGAGTGTGGAAGAACGAGAGCACGCTGAGCTGTTGATGGAGTATCAGGTCCTTAGCCAACAATTTCATATTGTTTCATTCATAAGCTTTATCATTTAAATTTGTTTATAACAACACCATGTGTTTCCTTGATGTACAGAACAAACGTGGTGGGAGGGTCAAGTTACAGCCCATGGTGCTGCCTCAGTCTGAGTTTGATCATCCTGAGAAAGGAGATGCTCTCTATGGTAAGCTTCGTTTCCCGTTTCTGAGATTTTAGATAGAGAATTCCAGTAGAAAGTATATGTAGTTTCTTAAGGGTTGACATAGATGTGATGTTATTAGTGAAGAGGATTGTTGGGTTTCATTAGCATCTAATATAGTGATTGTATTGAGTTTTAAGTTTGGAATGCTTACTTTCATGTTTATTCTTGTTTGCAGCTATGGAGCTGGCTCTTTCGTTGGAGAAACTAGTCAATGAAAAGCTCCTAAACTTGCACAGTGTAAGACCATCTCTCTCCTTAGGGTCCAATTCTTGTTTATGGCATTCATGTCATTAATCTAGTTTCTTAATTCAAATTGGCATTTGAATAATGTGGTCAACAGGTGGCTTCGAAGAACGATGATGTCCAGTTGGCAGATTTTATTGAGAGTGTGTTTCTGAACGAACAGGTAAAATAAAAGACAGTCACGTTCTATGTTAGTGGCAAAGATATGGGGTTCTTGATCTGTCAAAATGGAATCTAATGAAGTTAAATTAACATCACTTTGCAGGTGGAAGCGATTAAGAAAATCTCAGAATATGTTTCTCAACTTAGAAGACTCGGCAAAGGACATGGTAACCATTTGTTTAATCAATTTAAAACTAATAAAAACACATACCTCAATTTGTCCACTTCGTGCCTCACACTTTGTTTTTTTTTTTTTTTGTATTCAGGAACATGGCATTTCGATCAGGAGCTTCTTGGTGCTGCTGCTTAATCGAGTTTTAGCTGTAATCTCGCAGTTTGGTTAACTTTGGAGTTATTTTGAGTATGAGATGTAACTTTTGAGGTAGACTTGATTAATATCGTTTCTGCTGTGAGAGAAAACAAGCTATTATTATGTTCCTTGAGGTTAACTTTTTTTGTTGGTTTTTAAGTATTATGGTTTTGCCCATTTCGTAATATCAGTTTCCTTTAGAACATTTCAAATCAGCCGTGGTTTTGGGTGTAATGTAATGGGCATTGATATTCTATCACCCCTGCATGAAAGTAGTATTTTTATTTCATTTTGGTAACAAAGTGGTACCAAACCATGTATCTGTTTATCCAAGAAAAGTACAAAGTGGTAACCCATTAAAACTCATACAAGAGTACCTGGACTGTTGTGTGAGTGTCCATACTCTCAAAGTTTTGGGATCGTGATTGGTTTATGTGAGGTACTATTTGAGTACCCATAATTTATCAGTTTCATATTTACCAATCAATCCCTAAATTATATCAAATATTCTAAATACCAAAACCCACACATCAAAATTAATATATTAGTAAAACTGTATGAATTGAGAGAGCTAGGAAAAAATATATTTGATCAACCTTGATACCATGGCATGCCAATTGAAAACGATTATCGATTTTGTTTAACTCACTAAAGTCACTATCATTTGAAGTCACAAACAAAAACAGAGAACATTTACACTGTTTGTATTGTTATCAATCTGATTTGGTGAAATCAAATAACAAGCCCGTCTAGCTCAGTTGGTAGAGCGCAAGGCTCTTAACCTTGTGGTCGTGGGTTCGAGCCCCACGGTGGGCGATTGTAGGTTTCCTTTTTAAATATCTTTTCTTTTTAGTTTTCCCTTGTTTTGACCGCAAGTAGACCTAAAACGGTGGATGGATGGAAAAATTTCTTGCAATTGTTTCGAAGTGGCCATGGCTATGTTATGCAATTCATAAACCTAATTGTTATGCAATTTGTTCACATGGGAGTAACTTAAGATTTTGATAGCTTTTGTTTTTCTTGACTAAGATCATCAATTCTTGAACTTACACCAGTAAATTATAGGTTTTTGTTCATTTTAACAATTTTCTTAATCTTCTCTTTCATTCTTTACATCATATTTAACATGAGCAAGGAACTGCAAATTTTTTTTATATAGAAAATTCTCTGAGACAATTGAGAAGCACAAAGGCAAAAGATATGTTATTTTAAAACTCCTTGTATATTTTCATCCACTAACTTGCACATCAAATTATACAATCATAACGTCATAAAGATATAAGATTACTTTCCATATCTCACATCACGTCAGAGCAAGTGATAGCATGACACATGTCTTATATATTATTGCCCATCTTGTTTTCTATTTTTAGCTCTTTACACATAATTTCACTATCTCTCTTCTCTCTCAAAGATCGATCAGAGTATTTCTCTCTGTTGTGTGGAAAACAGAAGAAAGAATGATCAAGAACATCTTCCAAAGTCGGAAACTCTCAGGCCTCTGTGTTCTCTCAATCTTGCTCGTATCAGTCACAATCCTCCTCTTAACCAATGACACCATCGATCTCTTTCCTTACTTGTCTCTCTCTTATCTCCGTCGATCTTCCCTCTCCGACATCCCTACCTCCACACCAATCTCGAGTCCCACCAACGACTCATTATCATCTCCTCGGGAACCACCGGTTAATCAGACCCGAGTCGATGATCATCCGAGTGATCAAGGTTTGGAATTGGATTGGCTTAAAGACGACAAAGAATGGAATGTGAGTTTGAAGATAGATTGGAGGAGATGTGAGAGTCCAGATTACATACCGTGTTTGGATAACACAAAAGCTATCAAGAAACTTAAGTCGAAGAGAAACATGGAGCACAGAGAGAGACATTGTCCCGAGCCTGCACCTAAATGTTTGGTTCCTTTGCCACAACGTTACAAAGTTCCTCTTCCTTGGCCTCAGAGTAGGGACATGGTGAGAGACTCGTTTCTATTTTTTCGGTAAGATCTTTTCTTTCGTTACGGTTTCTTTGGTTCTTGCTGAAAAAGAAAACAGGTTTTCTCGATTCTTGCATGTGAAGATTTGTGATTGTTCTGCTTTCTAAATTCTTGTTTTGGTGTCTACAGATTTGGTATGATAATGTTCCTCATCCGAAACTTGTTGAATACAAGAAAGATCAGAATTGGGTTCGTAAATCTGGACCTTTCTTTGTCTTCCCTGGAGGAGGAACTCAATTCAAAGATGGTGTTATTCACTACATCAACTTCATACAAAAGGTAAAAACATATTTACATATCCAAAAGATTGATTCAGTTTACTGAGTTACTGTTTTGTTTTTACAGACGTTACCTGTTCTTGAATGGGGGAAGAAAGTAAGAGTGGTTCTTGATGTTGGTTGTGGTGTGGCTAGCTTTGGTGGGACTTTACTTGATAAAAACGTTATCACAATGTCATTTGCTCCTAAAGACGAACACGAAGCTCAGATTCAGTTCGCACTAGAACGAGGAATTCCCGCTACTCTTGCTGTTATTGGAACTCAAAAGCTTCCTTTTCCTGATAATGCTTATGACGTTATCCATTGCGCTAGATGCAGAGTCCATTGGCATGGATACGGTTGATATACTCAAAATACATCCTGAATTTTTGAATCAGTGAACTTGCTTGCTTTGTTAATACTGTTATGGAAATGTGTTGTTGCAGGTGGTAGACCTCTTTTGGAACTTAACCGGGTTCTTAGGCCTGGAGGGTTTTTTGTTTGGTCAGCTACACCGGTTTATCAACACGATGAAGGGCACCGTAATGTTTGGAAAAGTTAGTGTTACTTGTACTTAGTCTCTCCTCATTATGTTTAATTAGCATACAGAATAATTCATGAATGTTCTGCTTTTGTGTTTTTCTTGCAGCAATGGAGTCTTTGACTACATCAATGTGTTGGAAAGTTGTGGCTAGAACTCGATTTACTAAAGTTGGATTCGTTATTTACCAGAAACCAAACTCAGATTCTTGCTATGAATCGCGTAAAAACAAAGATCCACCTCTCTGCATCGAAGAAGAGACCAAGAAGAACAGTTCATGGTAATGCCATTGTATCCTTGAATATATCATTTCAACAAAAACAGAGTTTTGATGTCTCTTGACCAATACATGACATTTATTTTTCGAAATCAAAAGGTACACTCCTCTGCTCACCTGTCTACCAAAACTACCGGTCAGTCCAATCGGAAAATGGCCTTCGGGTTGGCCTGAAAGGTTAACCGATACACCGGTTAGCCTCTTGAGAGAACAGAGGAGTGAGGAGAGTTTCAGAGAAGACACTAAACTCTGGTCTGGAGTCATGTCAAATATCTACCTATATAGTTTAGCTATAAACTGGACCAGGATTCACAATGTTATGGACATGAACGCTGGTTATGGAGGGTGAGACAATATTTCACTATATACTTCACAAATGATTCATTTCTCTTGCTTACCATTTGTTCATATCTTGCTTTCAGATTTGCGACTGCTCTTATAAACAAACCTCTCTGGGTGATGAATGTGATTCCCGTGGAAGGTGAAGACACATTATCGACGATTTTCGATAGAGGTTTGATCGGGATTTATCATGATTGGTGTGAGTCGTTCAATACATACCCAAGATCATATGATCTCTTGCACTCTAGTTTCCTTCTCACCAGTCTTTCTCAAAGGTAAAACTTATGATTCTTGGACTGGATTGCAAGTCGTTTTGTCTTTTCGATCTGTAGCTAAACTACATGTTGTTTTTTGTTTTTGATATTCTCAGGTGTGATTTGATGGAGGTGGTAGTGGAAATAGACAGAATAGTAAGACCAGGAGGGTATCTTGTGGTGCAAGACACTGTTGAAATGTTGAAGAAGCTAAACCCTATTCTTCTATCACTCCGATGGTCAACGAATATGTACAGAGGCAAATTCCTTGTTGGCTTGAAATCTTCATGGCGTCCGTAAACACAACATTCATCATCCTCTCTAACAAATCTTGTTCATTTCGTTTTATTAGGGCTGTTCAATGAGTTTTGGTGCGGATATTATTAATTTTGAAGTTTTTTTTTTTTGTTTGGTTTGGAAAGTATAGCCTTAGAGGAATCAAATTAAACGCTAAATTCTTGTGATAATGTGTCCTTTAACTAAAAGTTTGAAGTTTAAATATAATATTTTTTTCTTCCATTTGATTCAGTTTTAGTTTTGATTTTTAGAAGACATAATATGAGTAAACCAACTTGAAATTGGGTTCAACGAATCGATTGAATTCAATCTCGGACGGTAGTTTAGATAACGGTAAAAATGTAATAAGGAAAATGTAAAAGCCCATATTACTATATGTAAAAATGTAAAAATGTAAAATAATGAAAAAAGGAAAAAACGAGAAAACATAAGATCTCTCTCTGTCTCAAACAAGCAAATATAAAAGAAACGGGGTTTGATAAGCAGATCTAGGGTTTCAATTGTTTTTGGTTGCGGCTGCAAGGAATGGGTGATCAAGTTGAGAACAAGATCATATGGTTTCTTACGAATGTCTCCTCTTTGCAATCTGAGGATATATATTCTAATTTATTCGTGATCGGTGGATGTAGTTGGTAAGAAGATAAGTTGTTAATTTTTTTTTGCTTTTCCTGCAATTTTAGGTATTAGGGCTTCTTCTGTGTTCTGTCCCCTAACGTTTTCAATGGTTTTTTTTTTTTTTTTTGCTTGCAGGCGTTTTATGGCCACTTGCAAGGGAAATAAATTTAGTGACAATCTGTCTCTGTCTCTGGTGGTTGCTGATGCTGAGGATTTGCCTTTTGGATGGGGCAGACACGCAAAATTTTCGTTTACTATAATGAATCAAGTTTCTGAAGAACAAGACTCCCAACTGCAAGATATGTTTCGTGATTTTACAGAAACAGAAGAGTGGTTTGATGACAAGACTCGTGCCTGTCCTTGTGCATCCAGTATACCCCTTGGAAAACTTGATGCCAAATATGGTGGATTAATTCTGAATGAACAAGTCAAGATTCTTGCAGAGATTAATGTTCTTGAAGCTATTGGCAAGTCTGTTGTATCAGAGGAGACTCTGAAAAAGATTAAGCAAGAGGAAGAAACTAGTACCATTGAACTCCATGGGTTTCCAGTACATCCTTCAGAGGTGGAACTTTTGAGCATTGTTTTCAAGGAACACCCAGACTTTGCATCTGACTTCATTGGAAAGAATTTTCACTCTCTCTGGAAGAGAATTTTCATCGATATGCTAATGTCCTTGTTTGGGATTCTGTTTAGGCCGACCTCAAGGACTGGTTTGGTTCATGCGCATCATACAATTGTATATATGAAAAAATGTGGATTTAAGGTTGGTTGGTTGGAGGAGAAGCTGAATGAGGTGACACAAAACAAGGATGAAGAGGAAAATGGAGAAAATTGAAGGCAAAAGAACAAGTGATGCAAATCAATATTTCTTTGTCTTTGTTTATTTTATTTTATTTTGTAATGTGTTTTATTTTTCTACTTTCATCAAGAATGTGCTTTCTACTTTCATCAAGAGGGTTTTGCTTCTTTTCGTTGCAGTGCTTTTGAAAATCTCTTAACATTGGATGATGTTTTTTCATGACTATACCAGTTGTTTTGGTCTGGTTTTTTCTTTTCTTTCTGTTGTGGTCTCTCTATTGCACCTTGTGTTTTAGAGGAAAAAACGGCCTTTGTTCATTGTCCTGTTTTGCATACGGTGTGGTGTGCGAGACTAAATAGTATCTTTATACAGTATACTTCTGATAAACAAGTTTCTGTGCATGTGTAATACTTGAACTTAGAAGTTCCTCGTAGCTCTAGGCTTGTGATCGAGGCTCATATGTGGGTAGCTGCTTACAACATCTAGAATCAACCCCATTAGTCTTTAGTGGTAGATGGACAAGAATGCCAGGGGGTTACAATACAAAGCATCCCTGGCCAGTGCAACTGTGCAAGGACATAGCTTAGGTAAAATTCTCCATAACCGATTTTATGATCCATGAAAGAGTATATAATTCCTCAGATTTTGGCGGTGTGATATATATATCAATGATCAAAAAAATCTTCTCTGTTTCTAAAATTAATAGTAAAGAAACGCTGACTTTTGTTTCTTGTAATCCAACAACAGACAAGTGTGGTCTCTAGATCTGATTCCTGCCATTGAAGGTGGTCGAGAGAAGCATGGCAAGTCACTCGAGAAAGCTGAGCTTGTCATGGGCTGGAGATATGTATGATCCTCTACCCTCCATTGTCTCTCACACAAGAAGCAAGAAACAGCAACCGCAGAAATCAAAGAGCAAAGACAACCTGAAGAAGAATGGAAAGAAAGGACTTAAGGGAATCAGCAAAGACAAGAAGCAGACTTCTTCTCGCAGCAGCAAATACAATCGAGAGATGTTCGATTGGGCAACACAAATGTCTATTAAAGCCGCATCTTCTTGAATCTGACCAGCGCGGCACTTGCGTCTTCCTTACTCTTCTCTGTCGCTCTCTCTTGTTTATAAATAAATGATTTTGGTGTGAAAACTTTTCTCACGACTTCTGTCATTCGTACGGACTTGGTTTTGATTTTTCACGAATTGCTTACTACTATTGTGAAGCTTTTCCCTCTCTACCTACTTGTTCTTTTACTTATATATGATATAAGCTGATACTTTTTGCAAAAAAGTTGATACTGAGGAAAGAATTTTAAAAACTTCCAACTAATATTTCTTTAATTTCACAAGTAATTGCAAAAAATTTCATAAATTTTTGTTTAATTTCGTATTAAATTTACAAGATGCTACATGATATTCTAGACATGCAGCATAAAATCATTTAACATCCGGAAATATATAGTGGAAACAAAAAAAAGCTTGATAATATATGTTACTGTTTTTGTTTTGATAAACTTGTAATTATCGTATAAAATGAAAGTTAGGTGTTACATGATTTTAAGACCTAAACAATTGAATTTTGCCAAAAAAAAAAATGTGGGTAAAAACAAAGCCCAATAAAAACGCAATTCTCATAAAGTGGAAAAACCATATATTTTCTTAGTAACGCCAAAACGGCATAATTAAGATTCCTAAAATTCTTCAGATGTCTCTGATCGGTAATTGTATTTATGATTTGTCGGTCAATGTCCTTGAAACTGCCAGCGGAGGTACATTGATTTGATTATGGAAGAGATTGTTCATTTGCCTCCAAACATTGTAAACCAAAGCGTGGATAATGAGTAGCCTAAGAGTGCGAAGAGCTTAACTGCTTTGGACCCTTACCCAACCAGCAAGGAAATCCAGTCTCTGGAAGTTATATCCGGAAGTCTAATCATGTCAATTATCTTGTCCCAGGGGACCCAAGTAAAGACATAGTCAATAAACAAATGGTCTCTGATCTCAACAGAAACGAAGCATAAGCTTCAAATGGTTGAAACATCAAGGATTTATGTGAGTCCAAATATGAGCTCTTATCTCTATCACTTGTGCTTTAATTTGTGTTTCTTATCATTATATTATATTTTTTCTTGCTAATTTCGGTGATATGATTAATTTCGGAGTTTAAAAAAAAAATCTAATCTTTTTACTGTTATTATTATTATTACTAGGAATCAGGACCTCCGCGATGTCGCGGGGGAAAGTACTTTAAAAATCGTTTAAAAAATATCAAACGAAAAGTCATAATGAATTGTAACAATTTAGATTTTTTTTAGTAATAAATCAATAAATATTTTACGAAAATTATGATAATAAAAACTTTCACAAGCATTTATTAAGTATATTAGTATTAAAAAACATTAATTTGTAACTAAAAACTATTCTCAAGCAAAAGACATCAAATAAACTAAAGGTTACAACGGTTTTGATAAATAAGCCAAAATGTTCATAAGTTCTACTAATAAACCAAATGCTACTATGTTAAATTAAACGGTAGCAACAATTCATTTAAATATATTTTAGTAATTAATTTTTTTTTTAAATGATAAACTTTAACCGAGAGACGCGACCGTATATATCAGATATATCCAAAGTTGCAATGGTTATACACTAAAGATTACAATGGTTCCTAAAACAAAACCAAATGTTGCAACAATTCAATTAAGTAGTTACATTTTAGTCATTTAAAATAAAAAGTAAAAAATAATAATTTATGAAAAGTTACACCGACGGTAGATTATTAAAATGTTTAAAAAAATATATTTACATCAACATACGAATGTAACTACGAATGACTAGTGAATTATTTTATAGTTTACATCAGCATAACAAAATGTCTAAATGAATGATATAATTGAGGTTATACTACTAAATATATTCATATATAAACTATGAAATAAAACCAATTTTATATGTAGTTTATAGGTTTACGTAAAAAGAAATTCAATAAAACAACATGACCGTACAAAAATAACTGTAAGAAAAACAACCATAAATATTTAAACGAAAGGTTGCAATAAAGAGACGCAACCGTTCAGATGTGCAAATGGTATTTATTGGAAAGAACATAACCGTAAAATAATAACCGATAAAAACGAAAATTGCGATAAAAAGACGCAACCAAAATAACCGTAAAAAAATAACCGATTTAAACGAAAGGTTGCGATAAAAAGACGCAACCGTTCAGATGTGCAAATGGTATTTATTAGATTGCTATTATATATAGATTATTATGATTAATTTTGGAGTTTGAGGTAATTAAGTTGTGTATATGTTTTATGTATGGTATATGTATATGTTTACGGTAATTAAGTTGTGTATGTGTTTGGTTAATTTGTGTGGAAAAGCGAGGATTTATTCTTTCATTCCTATTGGTCCAATTTTTGGTTAGTGTATGTGTATCTAATAAAAAAGAAGAGAGGAAGAGTGAATAATTTTGTTTTTATTAAAAAAAAATGCGGATATTATTTCAAAAATGATGCGGGAAAATGGTAGTGGCAAAACTGTAATATTAGGAGAGTTTCGAGGGTGTTTCGTCGTGGTGGGCAAAACTGAGCGCACAGATACTCTTCTCGCCCACTATAAGACCTTCCTTCTTCATTCTTCCTACTTCCTCTTCCTTCGTCCTTGCTCCGATCATTCTCTCTTCAACTGCCATTTCTCTAGCTCTCTCTCTCTCTGAATCCCTGAGAAAAATGTGTTCGCCGACAAGAAAAAAGCAGAGAACCATGAGTACAGCGGAGGTTAGTTCGTGATCAATCTCGCTCCGATTCATTAGCCGTGTAATCTCTGTTCGTGATCAACTCGGATGAGATTAGGGATTTAGGTTTTGAAGATTTGTCGGAGTTGTTAATGGAGTTGATACACATTCTTCGGTCGCGACTTGCTATATATATTTCCCGAGATCGCCGTTAATTTGATGATATAGTTGCATAGATTTGAATTCTTGATTAGGATTAGGGTTTCGACTTAATTTGTCTGGAATTGTTTGGGTTTTATATGTGCAGATGATATGTTCTCAAAAGAACAATCGTAATTCTCGTGTAGCTTCTCAAAACAAGAGTCCTCTTACTATTGTTGATCCTGCGGGTTCTCAAAACTTCTCTTTTGTTTTGTTTGATTAGATGGGAGCTGCCTATGATTCTTATCTTAAGAAACATCCCTTGAAGCAAAGCAATGTTGAACCTGGACAAAACAACACTCCTCCTAATAGTGTTGATGTGGGTTCCTCTCTGGTTATGTTTGATTACAATGTGCTTCTCTGGTTATGTTTGATCCTCTGGGTTCTCAAAACTTCTCTTTTGTTTTTTTTTTGATTAGGTGGATGCTGTCTGTGCTTCTTATCTTGAGAAACATCCCTTGAATCAAAGCATTGTTAGTTCTGGACAAAACAACACTCCTCGTAATAGTGTTGATGTGGGTTCCTCTCTGGTTATTTTTGGTTACAATGTGCTTCTCTGGTTTTGTTTGGTTTCAATGTGCTTCTTCGTGACTGAATATAAGTTAAACTGATTTGCTTGCAGGTGTTTCCAGGAAATCATCAAACCTCTGTACGTCTCCGAGAGAGGAGCAGGACCAGGACCCTTAGTATTGAAGATGACATCCGAAAGGCTCTGTTCGAGAGATATCCAGGGATCGGCAGAAGATTTTCTCAGGGAAACCAATCAGAAAACGAGATCTGGTTATCTCCCGTGGTGAAAATAATTGAAACTCTCATCAGCCCAGCCACTATTGAAAACATCAGTTTTGCTCACTCGATGATTGAACACATTCAGTCTTCCTTTCCCGGTCTCAATTTGGGCTGGCTGTCAAAAGCCGTTGTTGACATCATGAAATCAAAGAAGGACTTGTCTGATCTTACAGAACAATGGGAGAGAGTGATGGAGCAGTCGAAGAATCTGCAGAAGGAAGCTGAAGAGATCAGAGAAAAGATGGAGAGGAAGAAATCTTATCGTCTCACCATTTCACGTATCCTTGGGTGAGATTGATCTTGAAGAAAGAGAGTTAGAGAAGAAAAAGAAGAAGGATGATTTGAAATTTGTTTTCCCTATTGGTAGCTCTATCTGACATTGCTTCTCATTTAGTTTTCCACTTTCTCAATTGATTACACTAAGATTGTTTGTTTGTAACACTGTAGAGTGATGAGTATAAAGAAAGTCTGAATCGTCAAATATTATAATACATACTGTTGAGTGTTGACTTTGTCTTCATCTTCTATGATCTGATTTGTTTAAGACTCTGCACTACTGTTGTTGTTCACCAACCTTCTCTAGAATTGTCTTCATTAGACAAACCATCTTCTTCCATACATGGATTTCATAGATCACCTCAACACTTTCTCTTTGCTAATAAACCATTGGCACAAGTCCAACCGACCAGAGAATCCACTCTTCTTGTTTTTGCCAATTTAGTCCTTGACCAAATCTCAAGCCATACGCCACAAATATGTGACACAAACTCAAAATGATCAGTAATATTGGTTTGCTTGAGAGTTAATCTTCACAACCTGTCAAAGAAGCAGATTTATAACTTGAAATCTTCTCCATAAGCCCACATGCAGTTCCTTCTCAGTAAACCAACATGGGATTCTTGGCCTCAAAGTCAAGACAGATCTTTTCCTTAAATTTGGTTTGCTTCGATAAATGGTGGATTTATATTGAATGAAGGAGTCAAGATTGTTGCAGATAATAATGTTCTTGAAGCAATTGGCAAAGTCTGATGTATCCGAGGAGGAGGCAAACCAACCTCTGAAAAAGATTCAGCTGAGAGGAAGAAAGTAAGAGTGCTTCTAGATGTTGGTTGTGGTGTGGCTAGCTTTGGTGGGACTTTACTTGATAAAAACGTTATCACAATGTCATTTGCTCCTAAAGACGAACACGAAGCTCAGATTCAATTCGCACTAGAACGAGGAATTCCTGCTACTCTCGCTGTTATTGGAATTCAAAAGCTTCCTTTTACTGACGTTATCCATTGCGCTAGATGCAGAGTCCATTGGCATGGATACGGTTGATATACTCAAAGTACATCCTTAAACTTTCGAATCAGTGAACTTGCTTGCTTTGTTAATACTGTTATGGAAATGTGTTGTTGCAGGTGGTAGACCTCTTTTGGAACTTAACCGGGTTCTAAGGCCTGGAGGGTTTTTTGTTTGGTCAGCTACACCGGTTTATCAACACGATGAAGGGCACCGTAATGTTTGGAAAAGTTAGTATTACCTGTTTTTAATCTCTCCTAATTGTGTTTGATTAGCATACGTATGGAAGTTTATGAATGTTCTGCTTTTGTGTGTTTTTTCTCGCAGCAATGGAGTCTTTGACTACATCGATGTGTTGGAAAGTTGTGGCTAGAACTCGATTCAGTAAAGTTGGATTCGTTATTTACCAGAAACCAGACTCAGATTCTTGTTATGAATCTCGTAAAGACAAGGATCCGCCTTTCTGCATCGAAGAGACCAAGAAGAACAGTTCATGGTAATAACATTTTATCCTTTTTTGTTACATTTCAACAGAACACTGTTTTTGATGTCTCTTGACCAATACCATACCATTTTTTACGAATCAAAAGGTACACTCCTCTGCTTACCTGTCTACCGAAATTACCGGTCATTCCTGTTGGCCTGAAAGTTTAACCGATACACCGGTATGCTTCTTGAGAGAACAGAGGAGTGAAGAGAGTGTGAATAATGTGTATTGCATATATTTCCAAGAGAATGTACAGCCATATATATACATCAAACATAGAGAGACTCTAGGTTAAGTCTCTTATAGAAAGAGTGATAAAGAAGGAAACAATATATACAAGAAGTAAAGGCATGATACGTTAGTATCCTTGACAGAGAGTTTCTGATCTGGAATCATATCAGTTTCAGTTTTGATTTTTAGTTAGAAGAAACAAAGTATGGGTAAAACAATTGGGTTTTTGTTGGGTCCGACGAAACGATTGAATTTATTGGACGGTAGTTTAGATAATGGGCCTAAATTTTAAAATGGGCCTTTTGATGAGGCTGTTACGGAAGGTAAAATAATGAAAATAAGAGGACAAAACCGAGAAAACACATATATATCTCTGTCTCAAACAAGCAAAAGCCCTAGTAAAACCCTAGCCCCCACTTCGCTTGTGCCATTGAGCCGTTTTATAAATACTCACTCGCATCATCGAAGTTAAATCTACGGAGTCGTTAAGAACACGAATTTGAGTTCCGTCTGCAAAGGTATATCATTTCGGTGAACCCTATTCATGTTCTTGATTATTTTACTTCTCCTCAATTTTTTTTGTTGTATCGCGTTAAAAGCACATATCGAAGGCTCGCAGATAACGTATAATAAAAAACGCCTGCGAGCTCAATATTTGTGCAAAATCCTAAAACCATCCATTTGAGGTTTTGAAAAATCTCTGTGTTATAAGAATTTATCTTTTCTTATCGACAATTTTGATGGGTGGGACATTTCTTTCTCGATGTTATGATTTATCAGTCGATGAGAGTTCAATATGGATCAGTTCTGAAGAATTTTAGTCTCTATTCTTTTGTATTGAATGAATCAGACAATAGTAGCATTTGGTTACATCTAGTGTACTTTTAAGTTGTTCATAAAGTGAGAGTTTTGCTATTGTTGTTGTTTGAACAGTTTGAGACTTTGGAACTAAGAAAGGGTTCAGATATAGGATTAACTGGTGTTCATGATTTACTGAATTCAGATCATTGTTTTGTTCATACATAAGTTGCTGATTCATAACTTTGTTATTGACAGGATTTTGTGAAACCAGAGGAAAATGTCGAACCCAAAAGTCTTCTTTGATATCTTGATTGGAAAGATGAAGGCGGGGCGTGTTGTAATGGAGTTATTCGCAGATGTTACTCCGAGAACAGCAGATAATTTCCGTGCTCTGTGCACTGGAGAGAAGGGAATTGGGAGAGCAGGAAAGGCTTTACACTACAAAGGCTCAGCCTTTCACCGTATAATCCCAGGATTCATGTGTCAAGGTGGAGATTTCACCCGTGGGAATGGAACTGGAGGAGAATCGATTTACGGGTCTAAATTTGATGACGAGAACTTCAAGTTGAAGCATACAGGTCCAGGGATTTTGTCTATGGCTAATTCTGGTCCCAACACAAATGGTTCTCAGTTCTTCATCTGCACAGAGAAGACATCGTGGCTTGATGGGAAACACGTTGTTTTTGGGAAAGTTGTTGATGGATACAATGTTGTCAAGGCAATGGAGAATGTTGGCTCTGACATGGGAAATCCCTCTGAACCAGTTGTGATTGAAGATTGTGGCGAGCTCAAGAACCCAAGTTCATAAGTTTTAAACACATTGGCTTGATCTTGACAGGTTCTATCATATGCTCTGAAGCAGAGACAGCATCAGAGATGGTTAAGGTCAATCTAATCTGTGATGCAAAACGCTACTTAGGTTTTGATAATATCATATGAACATTAGGAAGTGGTTTTATCCTTCTAAGGATGGATGATTGATAATAATGGTAAAATTTCTTTGGACACTTTTTGTTTAGGTTTTTGTAGCTTTCTAATTTATGTGGATTGTTTAATGTTTTGGTATAATTATGCATAAACCAAACTCTCACAGAGCTTAATTTGTGAATCTGTTTCCAGAATTATAAAATTGCCGACTTTTCGGATTGGGCAGATTTATTTCATATGCAGAACAATATACAGAGTTTTTGATCATGTGATAATAACTATTGCTTAGCCAATGAATTTCTCACATTTCTTTGAGTAGTTTCTATTTATGGTTAAGTATCAGCATCAATTGTCAATACCCAACAGTATTTGGACAGTCTTCTTTAAAAATCCAACAACCAGTTTGCCTTGGCAATTATTGCTACTTTTGTAACTAAAAGTTTAGCTAACTAGTAACTATTTGGTATAGCTTCGTTATTAAATACATCTACCATTTCTAAAAAAATTTATTCACATTTCTTGACCACTTGGTGTCGGACATAGTGGACGGCCATGCTGCACATGGTCACATCATCATTTTTGCACTATAATCCGTTGACTGTAATCTGCCACAAAATAGAGAGGTCGAAGCCAGGTCACTACCGAATAAGACTTTGCCGTAACCGTGAGCGATGGTTCCTTTTGAAAAAAAAATTGATCTTTATATATATAGCGTACGAACGTAGCATTTTCTTTCTTGGCCCCTTAAAGATAAAGAACCAAACAAATATAATCTTTCTTATACAAGTCATACAAATTAAATATAATCTTGCTCTCTAATGAATTTCCATATTTTCCGATTATTTCATATTATCCTCCTCGCAGTTTTCATCTTCCACGACTCGTGTTATTCCGATGAAGGTACATGAATAATTAGTTTACTTTTACCAACCATTCAACTTATGATTTTTTTTGGTTATATATACTTATACCTTAGTAATATGAACTCCAAATTTTATATGAAAATATGTTATCGTGAAGCTGGAAACTATAGATTTATGAAAGATGCAACAACAGCACCAAAGTTATCTCACTTCGACTACATAATCATCGGAGGAGGAGCCGCTGGATGTGCATTAGCCGCAACGCTCTCTCAAAACGCAACCGTTTTAGTCCTCGAACGCGGCGGTTCCCCTTATGACAACCCAACCGCCTCAGACATAAACAACTTCGCGAACACACTCTTGGACATAACTCCAAACTCATGGTCGCAGCTATTCATCTCCGAAGACGGCGTTTTCAACTCACGCGCTCGTGTACTTGGTGGAGGCACGGTCATAAACGCAGGATTCTACTCACGTGCGGAAGAAGATTTCGTGGCGGAGGCAGGATGGGAGAGAGATGAGGTCGAAGCGGCTTACGAGTGGGTCGAGAAGAAAGTGGTTTTTGAACCACCGGTTAAGGGATGGCAATCGGCGTTTAGAGATGGACTTTTGGAAGCTGGTGTGAGTCCGTACAATGGTTTCACGTACGAACATATCGTTGGGACGAAGTTTGGTGGTACGATATTTGACCCGGATGGTCATAGACACACGGCGGCGAATTTGTTGGAGTATGCTAATCCGAACACGATTGTTGTCTACTTGCATGCTTCTGTCCATAAGATCCTCTTCACTATTACAGGTATTGACTGATCGACAATTAAATGCACCTTTTTTTTTCCATAATAAGAGAGGGACGTTAATGCTGAAAAAAGAAAAACAAAGAGAAACGTAGCTTACACGTGATCAAACTTTGTTTTTTAATCCCAACTTGTGTTTAATTTGTTAGTTGAAATATTATTATCTTGCTTATCATTATGATTTTTATTTATTTATTCATTATTAATTTCGTCGCTATCATCCACCGCAACTTATCATGTAAATAATTTTCCCCAACATTGGCTTGTTTGAGCCAATCTAATATAATTGTTGACAAAAATATATATATATATATATATATACCCGTCGGCGTTGTTGCACATTACCATACACATTATTATTTGTTTGCATGCTCCGGATATGAAACTTCTCTATTGGACAGGTAACCAGAGGCCCAAAGCATATGGGGTGATATTTCAGGATGCCAATGGAGTGTCCTACAAGGCAGAATTGGCAACGCAAGACTCAATAATGAGTGAGGTGATCTTATCGGCAGGTGCCATCGCGAGCCCGCAACTATTGATGCTAAATGGCGTGGGACCTGCGGCTCATCTTGCAGCCTATGGGGGGAATCCGGTCATCGTAGATCAACCCATGGTGGGGCAAGGGATGGCTGATAACCCGATGAATCCGGTTTTCATCCCTTCTCCTGAGCCCGTAGAAGTGTCACTTGTACAAGCCGTTGGAATCACCAAGTTTGGGAGTTACATTGAAGGTGGAAGTGCCTTAAGTGTCTCTATTAGTTTGACCCGTAGCTTCTTCGATGGTGTTTTGAAGCTTCTTAAAAAGGTATAATCAATTAACCCTCTAAAATGTTACAAAATTTGTTAAAACAAGACTAAACATCATATAAAATTGTTATTCACAAGACTATTTAATGTTATTTTTGTATGATGTTTTCTTATACAGACAAAATTCCCTACTCAATCCATCTCAAAGTTTTTCAAATCTTTGGATCTTACCTTGGATGTGACAACAAAAGCTGGTGTGATGATCCAAAAAGCGAATGGACCGCTCTCGAGAGGTCATTTGGAGTTGCGGAACACGAATATAGATGATAACCCTTCAGTGACATTCAACTACTATAAGGATCCAGAGGATTTGAACAAGTGTGTTGAAGGACTTAGTACCATTATTAAAGTGATAGATTCGAAGGGATACTCCAAGTACAAGTACCCTGCAACGAGTGCGCGTGGACTACTAAATCTCATTCTTGCCCTTCCCACCAATCTGAGGCCAAGACACATAACTTCAACGTTCGACTTGCAGCAGTATTGTATCGATACCGTGATGACTATTTATCATTACCATGGAGGTTGTCAAGTTGGAAAAGTGGTCGACAAGAATTACAAAGTATTAGGGATTGATGCTTTGAGGGTCATCGATGGATCCACGTTTCTCAAGTCTCCAGGGACTAATCCTCAAGCCACGATCATGATGCTCGGAAGGTAAACACATGCAGACTCCAATTGAATCAACTGATTAAAACATGTTTTAAAAATATATAATCGTTGGAGAATTGTAATGTGTAGGTATATGGGGCAGAAGATTCTTCGAGAGAGGATGGCTTTCCAAAGAAAACAAGAAGAAACATGAGATTTCTAAGTATCCTAGCTAAAATATCTTGTTGTTTGGGTATTGTTGCTCCCATGAAAGATGAGACAATCCTCTTCGCCGTCCAAACAAAGGAAACTCTGAAGACATAATCATTATAGTGTATATCACATGTTTCATGCATCTCGCAAGTGGGTTTTCTGTTGTACTAAAGTTATTTTAAATCAAAATTTAAACATAAAAAGGTTAAGTTATTTTGTACAGAAACAAGAGTGGTTATTGATGTTGTTAATTAACAGAGATTGATATCGTTAATAATATGACCAGAAAACGACCTGAGGTTGCTGATTATTTTGTTGTTAATATATACTCCCTCCGTATTTTAATAAGTGTCGTTTTAGAATTTTTATATTTTTGAATTAGATGTCGTTTTCAAATTTTTATGCAAAATTTATTACTTTTTAATGTTTTATAACGTTATAAAACATTAAAAAGTAATAAATTTTGCATAAAAATTTGAAAACGACATCTAATTCAAAAATATAAAAATTCTAAAACGACACTTATTAAAATACGGAGGGAGTAATGTATACTGATTCCCCATATTTTGGTTATGCATGAATATAGTGATTTTTAGAATTTAGTATAATTTACAGCCTATATATATAGTACATGTAGGCTCTCACTGGCTAAAATGGTAAGCCATATCTTATTTTTTTTCTCTTGGGAAATTTGCTTTAAAATGGTAAACCACTAAAATATAAATTCTTTGTTGTCACATATGTTTTCTCCAATGGGAAATTTGCCTACAGTATTTTAAAGTGGGAAATTTTCCCACTTTTCCCCAGCCAGTCATAAGGTTTTGAAAGAACAACATATCAAATTTATATAATTAGAATTTTGTCACATATCAGATTTTTTATGAAAGACATGAAACTCTATTTTATTCATAGTTTTCAGATCTTTGTAATTTTTTTTAGTATGGTCCTAATGTACAAATATCAAATACAGCTATCATATGCATTGTTTGTACCTAGTGATGTTAACTTGGGCATAGACCCCCCATTTATTAAATGGGTATGTACAAAAAAAATTAACCCATTTAAACCCATTTAGGGAAAAATGTTAAATAGGGTTAAATGGGTTACCCAATTAAACTCATTTATTAAATGGGGTTTCACACAAATAAATGGGTACCCATTTAAGCCCTTTTATATTAGTTATTTTTATTAAAAATGTTAATATCTTAATAACTAAAATAAAAGAACAAAATATTAAATATATTTAAAACTAATATTTTACTTAAATTCAATTTTTGATTTAAATATTTAAAACAAAACGTAAAACCACGTTTTCTATAACATGGTTATGCGGTTTTGGCGGGAAAACGCGGATTTACGGTTTTGGCGGGAAAATGCGAGTTTACGGTTTTGGTAGGAAAACGCAGGTTTACGGTTTTGGCGGGAAAACGCGGATTTACGGTTTTGGCAGGAAAATGCGGATTTACGGTTTTGGCGGAAAAACGCAGATTTACGGTTTTGACCGGAAAACGCGGATTTAAGGTTTTGGCGGGAAAATGCGAGTTTACGGTTTTGGCGGGAAAATGTGAGTTTACGGTTTTGGCGGAAAAACGCGGATTTACGGTTTTGGCGGGAAAACGCGAGTTTACGGTTTTGGCGGGAAAATGCGAGTTTACGGTTTTGGCGGGAAAATGCGAGTTTACGGTTTTGGCGGGAAAACGCGGATTTACGGTTTTGGCGGGAAAACGCGGATTTACGGTTTTGGCGGGAAAACGCGGATTTACGGTTTTGGTGGGAAAACGCGGATTTACGGTTTTGGTGGGAAAACGCGGATTTACGGTTTTGGCGGAAAAATGCTATTTCAAGAAAAAATAATTTTTGGTGATAAAACGCAATTTTGCGATTTTGGCGGAAAATAGCGTTTTTCCGCCAAAACCGTAAACCCGCGTTTTTCCGCCAAAACAGCAAAATTTCTTTTTTTGTAAACTATATTTTTTTCAACAAAATAATAAAAACAGTTATCATTATTTATCAATTATATTTAATAAAATAATTTGTAAATTTTAAATAATCAAATAAAATAATTATTGATTATATTATATTGTTTAGAACAAAACAATGTTATATGGGTCTAAATGGGTTTAAATGGGTAAAGGAAATTTAAATGGGTTTAAATGGGTAAAGGAAATTTAAATGGGTTTAAATGGGGAGGATAAATGGGGTATAAACTTAAATGGGGTTAAATGGGGTGGGTCTAAATGGGGTGGGTTTTAAATGGGGTGGGTCTAAATGGGGTGGGTTAGCCCATATTAACATCTCTATTTGTACCATTTAATAAGTCAATGACAAATTTAATTAATGCATGGCCCTTTAAGGTTTCACAATTTTTTAATCCCATTAAACAACGCCCTCAAAAATTTAGCTTTTTAAGTATTGTGCCGCAGCTAAGCAATGTCAATTTATTTAAGCAAAGTTCCCATGAATGTGACGACTCTTTAGGTCAAAAAAAAAACAAAAACAGCATAAATTACGTAAGGATGAAGTTAGATTACGCACAACGCGTAGACATGGCGATGAATTTGTAAATCATTTCCTTCATCCAATCAAACCTCGATGGCTTTCAAATTACGGCGAAACTGTTATAGTCAACCGTTTAAACTATATATTTTCTTCGGATCCATTTCAAAAGCTATAGTTTTATATATTTCTTGTTCCTAGTCTACATTTTCGTCGGATCCACTCCAGTCAAGTAATTTGCTCATATTTTATAAAATCATTAGATATCGAACCTCTTTTGTTGTCTTATTTTGAGTTACATAAAAAGTTGATTTAACTACTTATACTTGATGTAGTTTTTGATATTAATTTAAATATACTTTTAAAAACTAGATTACTAAACAATGCATATTAAGCTGGCATAGGAATGTATACATTATCGGTATGGTTTTTTTTTGTTATGGTTAATTAAAAAGTTTGGACCGACACTTATACATATATCTATAGAAAACCAAAATTCTTTTTAAACAGCACTAAAATTTGAAAAGCACGATATCTATATTATTAATTGGGAATCACTGGATAATAATAGACCTTATTTGTGTAAAAATATTACGATGAATGCCATTACAATTAATCCATTCTAAAAGTAAACAAAAAAAATCGTTCAAGGGTAAATTCGATAATTTGCTGGTAAGTAACACGCGGATCTTGGGTTATTGGATCGGATCTTGAGTTTTGGGGCGGATAAACACGCAAATCATAGAGATCATGGGCTTGATTTGTTCAGTTGGATATTACCGAATGTTTCCTGAAATTATGACAGAAATAAATGACAAAACCAAAAATGTTAGTCATCAAAGAAAGCTTGAAATAGTTAACAAAATATCAAAAATTTGAGGATTGTTTTGATTCGAATTCAGTTATTATATTTACCAAATATAACAATAACAATATAATCAAATCCTAACAAATCGAGCATATACCTTAAATCTTTCTTCAAAATTGAAGATTCGAAATATATTAGAAGATTTCAAAGTTTAACCCTAAAAATAGTTAGGTGACCTTCTTTTCCTATAAATATGTAAGTCTACTACCATGTTGACTACTCACTAATCTTTCAAACTCTCCGTAAGCTTTTCCTATTCCGCTTTCATTTCTAACAATTTATATTGCCTCTGTGATAAAATTTTGCATTGATTCAAATTCTGTTTTACTATAACACCACATTTTTGTTCTTTTGTGTTTACGGTTAAAAGCTGGGTTTGAGGAGAATTATTCCACTGTTGGTGTTAATCAAATCATTTTGAGTAGAAAAATCCAGTTTCTTTTAATTGCAGAGATTCTATATGAACTAACAGTCTAACACCAATTAGACTCAATAAGAGAAGGTAAATATGCATTTAGCACTAACCTTTATTCACTAACCTTTTACATATAGATTTCTGAATAGCTCCAACCAGAAAATGTGATAGTATTCTTATGTTACTTCAAATGAAGGTTTACCTGAATACATTTAGTTTTGTTTATTACATGATTATGATGATTTGGTAATAGCTATTGTTTTCTAATAATCGCATCAGTTTTTTTTCCTTTGTTTATCCTCCTTCTGTGAACATCATTAAACAAAATTGTAAACTGAAATCTATATAGAAACTTAATTAACTAGAACTCTTTCCAAAATAGTGTTACAAATTTATGGGATTCAAAAAAATGGTACGATACACCGGAAATTATATGTTCATATTGCTTCTAATATATTTCAAGTTAAAACTACAGTAAATCCAATTCGTATTCGTTGAAAAATTAAGTAAAAAACAAAATTTGGATATTCAATTGACAATATTTACCCATAGAAGATCTGGCTTCTTGAGAATCTTTGGACAAAAACACTATTCAATCATAAAATTTTACAGATTGGGATTTGAATCTACATATAAAAAATCAGTAGAAGTATAGATCTGATTTAAAAATTTAGAGATTCGGTTTACCTCTTTCAAGAATTCAAAATTTGCAAAGCACGGAATATAAACGGAGACGAAATAGCTGAATTATAATCGAGGTCTTGGCAACTGATTCTTCGATCGAGCCAGGTTCTTAATTTTGTTCGGTGGGTTTTTTTTTTAAGATAAGCCAAACAAATAAATTAATATTCATTGATATAGTAAATAATATTAGTTTACTTGAACGAAAATATAGATGGGTTAAAGACCCTTTAAAATTGGGTCAACATTAACATTTTACTCAGCCCACAAAAAAATTTGCTGCCTTGACTATTGGGTCATTAATTTATTTTTTCGGTTAAAAGGTTGCAGACCAAATAGCAATTTATAAAAAGTTATGATGCATTACCAAATATTCAATTAACAAATTTTAAATATCACATTCTTTCAAATTTTAACATTTTTATTATAACTTATTCCCACATAAATTCTCCACTGTTCAACTTTTTGTAATTGCACCAAACTATATATTTAAAATAAACACAAACAATTATGTAAATCTTACGCTAATAATTTTAAAAACTCACCTTTTGATTCTAGATTTAAAATTAATCAAACAAAAAATAAAAATTTATGTATCAACTTATTTTTAAAACATAAAACATAATTTTACAAGTATTATGGTAAGTTTATAATATATGCTATTATATAATTAACTAATCACAAAAAAAAAATATTAATACAAACTTTATGCGAACACATTAATTAAAACATTTATCCCGCACGAATGTGCGGGTCAGGATCTAGTTTATGGTATTACACGAAAGACCACTTGGTATAGTTCAACTTATAAGACCAGCTTATAAAATTGAAAGTTATATTTCGATATAGTGCAAATGAATTCCAACATAACGAAATTTTCTGGGATATTCCAAACAGGTTCTTAGATTGATCTGATCAAATATGGATTATTACAAACTTTAATTTAAGTTCTCATTCCGATAAAAAGAAATCGATAGATCAAAACTTTGAGGGACATTCGATCGTGGTAGAGATAATAGATCCACGATACTTGTGGGGGCGATATTTGAGCTTTTATTTGAATTGGGTAAACATCACAACAAAACGTGGGCTGTGTGAAAACAACAATTATGGGACACTTCTCTATACACTAACAAAAATCTGAGAAATACTTGAGAAAATGTATACAAATAAATTAATGGGGCATATTCCCATTACATCCATGACTCCTCTACCCACATGGCAAAGACTTGGATTGAAAACGAAGAAATTAACAACGAAGCAAGAAAACAAACAAACAAAAGAAAACCTACACGTTGAATTGGTCATCAGAAAACTCCCTCCACATTTTCTTAATCCATAATGCCACAACACAATCATTCATCTTCAATCATTCCTATATCCAACACATCATAACCCAATTCCACGTGGCATATAGACCCCACCATTTTGTGTTTTCTCTGTTAAAAAAAGAAAAAAGAGCCTAACGATTTTCCACAATAGTGCTAAGATCAAAAAGTCTTTTTCGACGGTGGCTTTGGCCTCTTCTTTTGAATCCTTTTAGCTCGGGCATCTTCAGGTCCATAGATTCTTCTATTTTCCCATCTTAATATATTTTTATTTTACTACTATGTATAAATATCTAATTGATAAATGTTACTTTTGTATTTATCTCTTGTATAATACAGTTGAATCAATATACTTTCAACAAAAATAGATACTCCTCTTTCACGAGAAATTTCATTGTTTAATTTTTCTTATTGTCAACAAGAAGAAGTAAATGCTTTTACTCAATTGTATCCTTTAATTTATTATCGGGCCAAACCACGGGGACACGCGCTTTTAACAAAAAAGTTGAAAAGTCATGTTGCTCTCTCCATTCGTCTCCTCCGCCATGCGAACTCAAACTCAAAGCTTTCTCTTCCTCTTCTTCTTCTTCTTCCTTTAGCTAACTTTTTGCTTCGAATCTGTGATAGATCGAGACTTTCAGCTTCCGTGCTGCTTTAGCTTTTGCTCGGTTTTGTTTTAGTCTGACGATGAGTAACAACTGGAAATCCTTTCGATTAAGGCTTCAAACCCGTACTCTCGTGTTTCTTCTGGTGATTTTGAGCTTCGGTTCTTGCTATTCGTTTAAATCTCATGGTATTTATGGTTTTTCTTTCTATTTGTTGGTTGCTGATACATAGAATAGGATAGTTCCTGATAATTGTTGTTTCGATTTTGGCTTTCAGGTGTGGGTGTTCTGGAATTTGTGTCGAAAGATCTAAGGTCAGATACAGATGCTGAGGATTTGTAAGTATCAGCTTTCGATTTTTGTTCTGTGAATGTTTTTAGTTTGTTGAATTTTGAACGCAGCTGCTTGATTTTAGTAAGTTCTAAGTATTTGGATCAAGATTAAAGACCTTTTGTTGATTTTCAGATTTAGAACTTGATTCTTGTGCTTTAGATGAGGTCTTTTTTTGGTGTTTTTACTTCTGCAAATTAGGTTTCTGAGCTTGCTAAGATCTAATGTTGTAGACTTGTAGTAAATTTTTGCTACCGCTAGTTTGATTGTTCAATGTAGAATGAATAGTTTTGCAAACATGATTTGTAACTGAATTTTGGTTGAGCATCAACATCAATGTAGTTGGTATTTTAGATCTATGACTTCTTTTGAGTGAACTAATACTATTTTCTGAGTTTTACAACATGAAGACCGACACTGTGTTTTATGCATTTTGTATTCTAAGACTTGCTAAATTTACTTTGACAGTGTTGTAGCATAATCATTTTTTCCATCTGAGTTAGTAACATGTTTCTGTTTCCTCTCCCTTTTATAGTCAAATTCATCGTACCTTTTGTCTTTTTTGTAGGAGAGCTGTTGGTTTTCACAGGAAATTACTTGGCCGTTTTCGTAACCCATACACCCATTTGACTACGTTCAGAGATCGGCCTGTGGCAAGAGCTACACCTCCGTCTTCTTCGGTTTCTCCGAGACCTAATGCCAAAAAAACCTTAACATTGCCTTCCCCACAAAAAAGTCCTCCTGCAAGACATGTTTCTGCTCCACCTCCTTTTATGCACCCTGTGAATTTTCCTAGTCTAAGAAGAAGCTCCAAAACTTCTTCAAACAGCACAATTCCTATATTGGCTGGCTGCGTAGGCGGTGCTGTGTTTATCCTCCTTTTAGCTACTGGTGTCTTCTTTTTCAAAAGTAAGGCTGGAAAATCTGTGAATCCCTGGCGTACAGGTCTTAGTGGACAACTTCAGAAAGTGTTCATAACTGGTAATTGCCTTTCTACTCCCTTATACTTAATGTGAACTGGCATTGTTGGTTCTAGATGATTGAGGTTTAATCGATATGCTTGTCTCTGTCAACTCCATTTCTTTTTTCTTTTCAATATTAATGATGTGTGATTTGGTACTCAGGTGTCCCCAAACTCAAAAGATCTGAGATTGAAGCTGCCTGTGAAGACTTCAGTAATGTTATTGGGTCTTGTCCCATTGGTACATTGTTCAAAGGGACGCTATCAAGTGGGGTGGAGATAGCTGTGGCTTCTGTTGCTACTGCCTCTGCCAAAGAATGGACAAATAACATAGAAATGCAGTTCAGAAAGAAGGTATTTCCAGTCAACCAGTTTTCTTTTATTTTTGAGGGGTTTTGATTTCTATCACCTTATCGTTTATGTTTTTGATAATTTCAGATCGAAATGTTATCCAAGATAAACCACAAGAATTTTGTCAACCTTCTTGGTTACTGTGAAGAAGATGAACCTTTCACTAGGATCTTGGTGTTTGAATATGCATCAAATGGAACAGTCTTTGAACATTTACACTGTAAGTAATAAAGCTCTTTAGTCATGAGATTATGAGTCATTTACACTGTAAGTTGTCGAAATTAAAATGGGAAACAATATTTACTTTTGTTGCAGATAAAGAATCAGAACACTTGGACTGGGTAATGCGGCTAAGAATAGCAATGGGCATAGCCTATTGCCTTGACCATATGCACGGACTCAAGCCACCTCTAGTCCACAGCAATCTTCTTTCATCATCAGTTCAACTCACAGAGGACTACGCTGTCAAAATTGCGGATTTCAATTTTGGATATCTAAAAGGCCCATCCGAGACAGAAAGCAGCACCAATGCACTCATAGATACAAACATCTCAGAAACAACACAGGAAGACATTGTTCACAGCTTCGGGTTGCTGTTGTTTGAATTGATGACTGGAAAACTCCCAGAGTCAGTTAAAAAAGGTGACTCGATAGATACCGGATTGGCTGACTTCTTGAGAGGAAAGACATTAAGGGAGATGGTGGATCCAACACTGGAATGTTTTGATGACAAGATTGAGAATATAGGTGAAGTGATCAAAAGTTGCATAAGGGCAGACCCGAAACAGAGACCGATAATGAAGGAAGTGACAGGGAGATTACGAGAGATCACTGGATTATCACCAGACGACGCTATCCCAAAACTGTCACCGCTCTGGTGGGCAGAGCTGGAAGTTCTGTCCACTGCGTGAGAGACTACTACCTACTTCACAACAAATCTGTAAGTATTAATATGAAGATTTGAGTGAGGTTTTTGAGTCTCGTTGAAGCTCTTGGATTCTCTTTAGGCTACTTTCATCTATCTATATATATATAAATGTATGGAACTTAGTTTATATAACGGCTTTAAAAACCGGTGGATCCATTATGTCGTAAACAGAAAATGTCGGAGATCACGGTAATACCCCCTTTTTGGTGTGCATAAGGTGGTTACTGTGTTTGTAATTAGTTACTCTGTTTGTTCCTTTTAAATGTTCAATCATCAGGTTCTGAAGTAACATAGAGAAGACGGATCAAAGTATAGTTCACAAGGTTTGCTCGTTCAAATTAATTTAGTTAAGGATGGTGCTCGCAGTTTGATACCTTTCACCTCAATTGCATTCCTCTCAGTCGAATTCAGGAAATTCAATGAATAGTTTAATATATTTTTTTTCGATTTTACTCCACAATTTAACACTCCACCTCCTAAACCACATGCAAATATCGTAGCTTCTAAGAACAAACTGTTGACCCAAAAGAAATGTAATGGGTTTGATCGGTAACGTAAGAATTAGGGATATACCATTTTTATGATAATAAATCACAAAATTATTATTACCGCTTTGTGACACAAAATATGTTAAAAATGTTTGAGTCGACATGAACAATGAAGATGGTCCATAACTCCATCGGTGTAATCCAAAATGGAGTCGTGTGAACCGTCAGATTAACGATTGCAACACACGACAATCACACATCTTCTACACAATCAAAATCTTTCGAAGCTGGTTGGATTATATTAAAAAAAATTAAAGACAAAAAAAACGAAAGAAAAAAAGCAATCGTACAGTGATCTCTGGGTATATGCTTGGAGTATCTCTCCTTATCCCTCCTTGGGGTTCTCTTCAAAACCCCTTCTTCCTTCTCCTTCTCTAACCATCTTTCTTCGCCATGGCTAATCCTCAAGCTTCTCCAATTCTCCATCACCCCCAAAATCACCTCTCTCTCTTCCACTTTCGTACTACATCTCCTCGCTCCTTCAGCTCTCTGCATTTCAGAAAACCTCTGCTCTTTTTCCCTTCTTCTTCTTCTTCTTCTTCGTTGTTCTCTTCTTCATTTTCCTCGAAATTACAGCAGAGCGAGCAGCAATGTGACAATCACCAGGTGAGACACGTGTCAACCGTACCTGTCGAGTATTCCACACCGACTCCTCCGGAATCCGACGATTTCTTATCGGAAATCGATCGGCTTAACTCTCTCCGAGCGAAACTAGACGTTTCCAAGGATTTACGCCGGAAGGACGCGGTTATCGACGCTGATTCCAGAGTTCGTCGATTCTTCAGCGAGAATCGAGGCGGTTTATCTCAGGTTTTAGGTTCACTTGGTTTGAATTCGAAAGAGATGTTTCTCGTTAAGTGTGTTATCGCTGCGGGGCAAGAACATGCTCTATGTATGAATTACGAGGAAGCATTTGAACAGGAAGCGGAAGAGTATACAGTGAGAAGCTCGGTGAAGAACGTGCTCTACGCATTGGTGGAGATGATTGAGCGATTCGATGTGAATAGTAGCGGCTATAAAGGTAGAAGAGAGATTGGTACAGTTTTAGATGCAGAGGAGATTTCTCACTTTAGAAAATTCTTGACGTTTCTAGAAGAAGTTGAACAGTTTTACGACTGCATTGGAGGAATTATCGGGTACCAATTCTTCTTAATTTCATTGATGATATTTTTGATTTTGAATATAGTCATTGCTGAGACATGCATGATTGTGTGTCAGATATCAGATTATGGTTCTTGAGCTTCTTCATCAGTCATCTAAGAGACGTAATACTAACCGCTCACATCTTGTTGAAGAATCCTTGGGTTGCCAGTACTTAGAAATGCACACTCCTAGTGTTCTTGACCTCACTCAGAAGGCAGATTATGCCTCGCAGGCGGCAATATGGGGAATTGAGGTTAGTATTGTGTTATTTGCTTTTGAAATTAAGCCAAGTTGTTGTGTATGGTTTCTGGATTATAAGTTGTTATACATATTAGGGATTGCCAGACTTAGGTGAAATATATCCCCTAGGAGGTGCAGCAGACAGACTAGGTTTGATTGATTCAGAAACAGGAGAATGCCTTCCTGCAGCAATGCTTGCTCATTGTGGACGAACTTTGTTGGAAGGACTTATTAGAGATCTTCAGGTACATATGTCTATTTTTGAATGTATGAAAGGAAAATTTGAGGTAAGAAACCTGTATTTGTTCATGGCATTAGAAATGTTATTTATCTTCTTTTTTTCGTAATTGGCTAGGCTAGAGAGTTTCTTTACTTCAAACTTTATGGAAAGCAATGTGTCACACCTGTTGCCATTATGACAAGTGCTGCAAAGAACAACCATGAGCATGTAAGTTCCCTTTGTGAAAGGCTCAAATGGTTTGGAAGAGGTCAATCAAATTTCCGACTCTTTGAACAGGTATCGGAAACATATATTTTCTTTTGATTTCTGCTACCTTTTTCTGCGACATCTGTAGATTGAGTATTGTACTCACAGTTAATGGAATGGTTTTTGTTTCGCTAGCCTCTCGTCCCAGCTGTCAGTGCTGAAGATGGTCAATGGATAGTATCAAAGCCCTTTGTGCCAGTTAGTAAACCTGGTGGTCATGGTGTGATATGGAAATTGGCTTATGACAAAGGTGTCTTTAACTGGTTTTACGATCATGGAAGAAAGGGGGCAACTGTTAGGCAAGTTAGGTTAGTCACTTGTACCCTTGTGAAGTTGTTCATTATAATAAATCAGAACAATCTGAATTTACTGTATATAATTGTGACATTGCAGTAACGTTGTGGCTGCCACAGATGTTACCCTCTTGGCCCTTGCTGGGATTGGCTTACGGTACAATAAGGTATGCTTGCATCGTATGATTATGACTCACACACTGCAAATAGATTCAAATCATTAAATGTATCACTTATGGAGATAAAAAAAGAGAGCATCTGGTGTTGATTGCAAATGGTCTCATGTTAGCTGGGCTTGAAGAAAATGTTCTATATCACGTAGTATAGTTTCTTGAGTATATATGATGGATACATTCCTTTAGAAGTATGAGGTGTGGCAGTTAACTATCCACTGATATATATGGCTATGCTTTCCTAACTTGCATACTAGTTGAGAAAACATATTAACCACGTATTCATCTCTCAACTACTTCAAGAAAAAGGAATACCTCTCTGGACTTGTTGATTTATTAAAATCTTAATGTGACAGAAACTTGGGTTTGCATCCTGTAAAAGGAATGCTGGAGCAACTGAAGGGATTAATGTATTGATGGAGAAGAAGAATTTTGATGGGAAGTGGGAATATGGTTTATCGTGCATTGAGTACACAGAATTTGATAAATTCGGAATCTCCAACAGATCACCTTCTTCAAATGGGTATGATATTTGTATCATTGAATTTGTTCTTGCTTAAAGTGCAAATATCCGAGAACTGATTCATAGTATCTCTGTTCTAGCTGAAAATAAGTGCAAATTTATCTCATCTTTTATTATATGTCTTTAGTATTAGTTGTTCTTCCTTGTTCTCTGGTAAAAAATCTAGTATTTTTATCAGTGTGAATCTTTAATGCTCATATATTTCTTCAGCTCAGAGTGCAAAATCAAATCAATTTTCCATTTTACTTCTGAAGTTTGCAGGCTGATTTCCCGGCCAATACAAACATTCTATATGTAGACTTACATTCTGCCGAGTTAATTGGGTCGAGCAGTAATGCAAAAGTTTGCCAAATATGGTTCTCAATACAAAGAAGCGAATTGAGTACATTGATCAGTATGGAGACTATCACAGGTTGGTATCTCTGAACATTTATGTTGACTGATCTTCTGTTACCTTGTTATATCTCCCAATCTTCGAGTGATATTTTGCTTAAATGGAAACCTCAAGTCAAATCTTAACTGCTGCTTATAGGTAAACTGGAATTCATATTGATTCCTTTTGACCCCCAAACACTTTTATTCTTTTCTAAATGGAATTACCAATCACTCTCTTACATTCAATCCCCTTCTTTTATTATCGTTAGCAAGTTTCTTATAACTTTCCTTTTGGAGCAGCGTTATGGGTGGTAGATTGGAATGCACAATGCAAAACATAGCAGACAATTTTTTTAATAAGTTTCCATCTAGATGCCAGGGCAGTCTAGAAGGTAAAGTTATTTGAATAAGTTGCATTGTTTCATGTATATCTGTATTTAGGCGTTACTTACTCTCTTCCCATGATCTTACCAGACAAACTGGATACATATATTGTATACAACGAACGAAGAAGGGTCACTTCATCAGCTAAGAAGAAGAAACCACATGCAAGTGCTGCATTACACCAGGTTATCTTTCTCTAGCCACTTGTTTAGACTTTCTTTGCCTATTCTTTTGTCTCATTGCATTGATTTGGCATTCAATAGAACTAATTTTTTATTCAAACTTACCTTTCAAACTTTGCTCTTACTATACAGACTCCAGATGGTGCATTGTTGGATATACTCCGGAATGCATATGACCTCCTTACGGAGTGTGATATTAAACTCCCCATGGTTAGTTCACAGATACATCTCTTTTACATGTCAGTTTGAATTTTGAATTGAGAATTTATAGTTTTATTCTACCCCTCCAGATTGAAACTAATGATAAATATGTTGATTCCCCACCTCCGTATCTCATTCTTCTGCATCCTGCCCTCGGCCCTCTTTGGGAAGTTTCGAGACAGAAAGTAAGTCAATAGTCTGTTCTTGACAGTAGAAGATGCCCGTCTTCTTTTGTTTCCTGATTCAGAAATTATAGGAAATCATTCATTATGACTAATATCGTATATGAATCGTTGTTACAGTTCAAGGGAGGGTCAATTTCCAGTTGCTCAGAACTGCAACTAGAGATTGCAGAGTTCTCATGGAACAATGTTCAGGTTCTAAATATTTTTATTTTCCCAACAAGATTTCGCATACTTTTCATCGCTTTGAGTTTCTGAAACTCGAGATCACTTTCCTGTCCCATAGATTGATGGTAGCTTGATCATCACTGCTGAAAATGCCATGGGTTCAACAACACCTAACGATAATGGTGAACCAATATTACAATACGGATTAAGGTAGAATAGAGTCTTGTACTTGATTATCTCTGTAAGATACATGTCTATTGGTTTGCACTTGTGAATTCACATAAAAACTTGATTTGTAGGTGTGGTAAGTGTAAACTGCATAATGTCAAGGTAGTGAACCGAGGAATCGATTGGAACAGTAAATCAAATGTTTACTGGAGAAACGATGTGAACCGGCTTGAGACTTGTAAAAATCATACTGCACGGAAATGCAGAATTTGAAGCCAGCAATGTAACTATAGAGGTAAAGTCAAGTAAAGTAGCATGTAAGTTTGTGATGGATTAGAGTGTGTGCTTAAAACCAAGTGATATATACTCTTTTTGCAGGGAAACCATGTTTTTGAAGTACCCGACGGTCACAAACTTAAGATCACACCAGGAAATGCAGGTCACTGGATCTTATTATCTAAAGCAATGATAGATAAGAAATCAGACCAAATTGACACTAATATTGATTGATTTTGTTTGTTGTTCAATCTAGGTTTAAGCATCAACTTGGAAGCACTGAAAGAAGAGGTAAAGGAAACAGGAAGCTGGTATTGGAACTACCAACTCAATGGATCCCACATTCATCTTCAACAAGTAGAGGTTTCACAAAACTAACCCCACCAAATAATTGGGAGCTAAGCCTCCCAAAGTAGAAAAAAGTTTATAACCTCTCCTTGTCCTTGAAAATAAAAATAGAAAGTGTACTTCGCTGTAAATGTTTGCTCCTCTGTAAATTAAACAAAACAGTTCACCATCTCTATCTGATGTGTTCTCTTTCATGTAAAAAGCCCGAGAATTGTACAATTCATAGATTCATACTTGAACTTGAAGAGACGAGTCAATAACAGATTCATTTGTATCACGAAACCTTATTATACATTCATAGATTCATAATCATGATTTTAACATATTAGTATCATGAAATTCACGTAAAGCATTTTTCATTCTCAATCCTCTAACACTCATCTCCTTCAAAACCAACTTAGCTTCTTTAAACCTCTTCCTCTTAATAAGCTTACTAGCTAAACTTCCCAAATTCTCTTCATCTAATTTCTTATCTTTTCCGGCGTACGCCATCACAAATTCCACAGACGGCGCATAATAGCCATTCTCCACCAACTCTCCAATAACGTGCGCATGCGTGGCGTATAATACCGGTAACCCGTCTTCCTCCATCCTCCTCAGAATCGCCAACGCAGCTTCAACTTTCCCTGATTTGCACGCGCCTAACACAAGCGCGTCGTAAGTACGCGTGTCCGGCGACATAACCCCTTCCTTCTCCTCTTCCATCTTCCTCAGCACCTTGCTCGCCTCCGCCACGTCACCGTCGTAACAATGCGAAGTTAAAAAGTAATTGTATGAAGTCACGTCCACCGGAATCGCGTGAGATCTCATCAATTCCACCACGCGCCAAGCTTCTTCGATTCTGTTCTTCTTCGTGAGTGTGTTCAAGATCGGATGAAATATGGAGGTTGAGAGTTCGAATTTTCCGATTGCCATATCGTTGATCAAGACCAGAGCGTCGTCGATCCGGCCGAGTTTGCAGAGTCGCGCGATGAGAGTTTCGTATGCGTGTTTCCGAGTATAACCGGGATCGGTATGAGGTAAAATGCGGCGGAGATCTTCTAAGGAGGAAGAGTAAGAGTCTGTGTTTGTTAGGAATTTGAATGTTGCGGTCGTGTTGAAACACGCGTTAACAACGCGGCTGTTGAGAAGACGACGTACGGCTTCGAAGTCGCCAGAGTTTCCGGCTTCGTAGATGAGGTTATCGAATTCGACGCAAGTACGACGACCAGGAGAAGCTATTGGATTGGGATTAACGGTGGAGAATGAACGCCTCGAGATCGATTGAAGGAGAAATCCGGAATGTTCGCTTCGTTCACGAATCGCCGGAGAAGAGCCATCGTCGGATTTAGCTCGACGGAGATTAGGGTTTTAGCCGGAACTTCAGAAATGAAGAAGACAGTGAAGAGACTGCGCTTGAGATTATTAGGCTAAACTTGTTTTAAAGGCCCATAAAGAAATATAGGCCCAATGTTAAAAGCCTACATGTTCATTGGTCTCGTTTCATTTGTCTAGGGTTTTGTAGAATATATATTCCATCTTTCATCTTCTCTTGTCTCTCTCGCCACGATTAGGGTTTTGAGCAAAAAGGAGTGATGAGAGCTAAGGTAATTATGATCTTCCACCATTCTTACTGAGTTCATTGTCTGATTCATCTTCTCTTTGTTGTTACATCTATACTTTAGAACCAACTTTAGTTTTTTTTTCGTTAACTAATTGTGGATCTGGTGTTGTTTAATATCTCAGTGGAAGAAGAAGCGTATGAGGAGATTGAAGAGGAAGAGACGAAAGATGAGACAGCGATCTAAATAGACCAAATCTACTCCGCAAGTCTTTCGCTTTCCCCATCTGCATTTGTGTTTCGTTTGCTTCAGTTATTTCCCAGAATTTGATACTACCTTTGTCTTAGTTTCAAGATTTTGCTGTTGGATTAATGGATTTTCAATTAATGTTAAGCTTCATCTTCCTTTGCCAATTAACTTGCGATTTAATCTATGTCTCTTGCTTGTTTCATCTCAAACGTAGCTACTAGCTCTTAGTGATCATAGACAGATCAAATCGTAAAGAACTGATCTTTTAGTTTGAAATGATAGTTTCAAATTCAATGGAAAATCTTTGTATAGACCATTGTCGCGAAATCGTAACACTTCCGTAGTAGTAACTAGTTAGAAAATGAGCTGTTTAGGCAATGATGACATAGAGACTAAATCCATCTCTGCCTCTTGCTTTGTGATCTCAGCAAAAGCTGAAATTGAATTCTTGAAGATGTGATCATAATGCATAATGTTCGTTACTGCACAAATTGATTGCTTTACGGCATTTTTTGTAGAGAGAGGCTTAGGCTGTCTTGCCTCTTTACTTTCATTCTTGTTGTCTCTTGCTAATTCTTTCAGCTAGAATAGCAAATACCAATTCTTAGATGAACACATTTGAAGAATTTTTTTGAAGTACAATCTCTGATGGTTACAATTACATGGGCTGTTTGGTCTAATTAATCCATCTGCATGAATGTTTTTTTATAAAAAGCAGATACTAGCATTGTAAAGGTTAAAATTGCAAATGTAACATGAAGAGAGTTAATAGCACAATTATGTGTACTACACAGTATATGTATATACACTCATCTCAAACCGGCGTTGCTAAATGATTCAACATTCCCAAGAATGCATTTTAACCATCCTTGCCACAAAACTCTCTCTCTCTTTCTCCTTCTCTGATTGATGGTTTCCAAACTCCATCAATCTGCTTCTGTTTTCACCTTTACTATTCGTTGAAGTGTATTGCTCCGAGTTTCCAAACAAGAAAAGTAGTAGCAAACATCACAGTGCTTATGAACACAAAGGAGAATGCAATGATGAGGATATCTGAGCCTCCCGGTAAATCAAACGTAAGGCCACTCTTTGGCATCCCTCTCCTGCTATCATCAAGCATGTTGGTTGGTGCTTCGGGTAGACCCGGTTTCCTCTTTGATTTCTTATCACTTTCCTTGAGCACATCAAGAAGTTGGCTTCCCATTTGGGTTTTGACGGTTTCGGTGTTGCTTCCGTGTATCGACTAAGAACACGAGCTGCTTTAAGTCTCTCTCGTGCTGTCAACGGTGCTCTTTTAGCAGCGCCATTGCCTAATTCAACAGACTCACTTGCTGGTTTATTAGAATCTGAAGAATCTACGGATGTAGTTGTGACAGAATTGTCATTTGTATCCAAACAAGATACAACCAATCTTCTTTTGCTTAACAGTGACCTTCTTGAACTGTTTAGAGATATGTGTGACGCAACAGGCAAAGTCTTTAACGCTATAACAGGATGGGATCTGTTACGAAGCTTCAAAGAGAGAAGATTTTTTATCAGCAAAACAAGCAGCTGATTCGATTGAAAGCATTGAGTTTTTATGCATCAAAGAAATACATAAAGCATTGGTTTTCAAACTGTAGAGAGACCAATCAAGGAGAAAGTAAACTATAGAATTGCACCAAATCAAACCCAGTTCACGGAATATCCAAAGAAACGATTCAATCTCAAATTAAAGTGATTCTGGAGAAATTATACACTAATATGAGCAAGAATCTTTATATGGTCATTAAAGATGAAGAGAGCAATAACTTACCGGAGAAGTGAAGCCGGCGTTGAGAACGACGGACATTGTGAATCGTAAGATTTTAAGAGCGACGCATATGGAGGAAGAAGAAAGACGGAAGCTCTGTTTGTGTGTGGTAGTGAAAGCTAAGCAGAGAATCGAAGATTGGGTTCTCTTTCTCAGCTTCCTCTCGATGATCAACTTCTCACTCGCTCTTAAAGCGCGTTATAGCCACGCGATATCTTTTATAATTTGACCCATTGAGAAGATGAAAATTGCAAAAACACAACCCAAACTATAACAATTTTACACAAAAAAAATTTGACTAATTTTTGACTACACTACCGTACAATAATTATTAACTGATAAGTGAAATTTTACATTTTTATATAACTTTTTTTCCCTACACAAATAAAGAATGGTCCACTAATCATTGACTTGTCAATAAATCGGCGCTCAGTAGCAAACTAGTGAAAAAAAGACTCTTCTAGGCGATTCTCTCTTCCTCTAGAATCATCTCCACCGACTTAATCAAATCGACGTTTTCCTTGCCGCCGGCAGCGGATCAGCTTTCCGATTCATCGGATCTACTCTTTCTTTATCATGGCTGATAAAGAACTTTGGTTCGCCCTCCAGAATTTAAATCTGGGCTCTGATAGAAGTCCATTAAAGCTTTCAACAGAGGCTAACCGTAAAAGGGATGCAGATCATCGGCTTAGTGTTGTTGTGAAAGGGTTACATCCATCGCAAAATCCAGCAGGGATTAAAATCATGATGCCTAAAATCTGGAAAATGGAAGGCCGGTAACTAGTCGTATCAACGAGGATGGTACTGTCCAATTTTTCTTCAAGCACGAGCATAATCTTCTCACAGTTCTAGATGATGGTCTCTGGACTTACAAGGACTGGCTGGTGGTTGTTGATCGATGGACCAGGCGGAGGTATCCTGATTTCCTCAGAATTATCAGGTTTTGGGTCAAACTTCTCAATATCCCAGATGATTCAAAAGAAGATCGCTCGATTAGGGAAATTGGAGGTGTTCTCGGGCATGTCGAGGATGTTTACATACAACAACCAACGGCAGATCTAGCTGGAGCGGTCTGGGTTAGAGTCCCAATTGAGATCTCAGCAAAGTTAACCTTTGCTAGATACTTCGATTTAGAGGACCATGAGGAACCAGTTCTTATAAGATATGTTTATGACAAGCTCAGGAAATTTTGCTCAGCCTGTGGTGGACTCACGCATTTAGCTGCAAATTGTACCATTAATCCCCCTGAAGCTGAGCCTCTTCAATTTCTTGCCTCATCTCCTCTAGCAAATCAAGTCCGTCAGCCGGAGAATGCTCATCCAATTGAAGAATTGCCCCATACCCCTACGGAGGTAGCTGATGATACTATGGGAGAAACTGTGGGATCAAATCTCAATATGGAAACTTCTGAAAATCAGCCGCATATCGGTTCTCAAGGAGATCTTATGGACTTTCTGCATCCTGGGGATATCAATAATAGAATCAATGACACTTTTGCTATACGTGAAGTAGGATCTTCCTCAGGTCCAGTGCAAGATAGGGGTACTAAACGCAAGATTGATGGTCCAGCTGATGAAGATGAAGTCTCAACCTCTAGAAGAAGAACTCAAGGTCGCTTCACAACTCAGATTCAAGGGGAGGTGGATACCCCGAAGCCACCAACTCCAGAATAAAAATACTGCACTGGAATTGTCAGGGCTTGAGGTACCCCTTGACAATTCCCTACCTGAAGGATATTAATCGAAAACACCGGATTGATATCCTGTTCCTCGTAGAAATAAAAATAAGGATAGTTATGTACAACTACTCGGTCAAGATCTCCAGTTTGATCATCAAATTTTGGTCTCTCCTGATGGTCTTAAAGGAGGTTTAGCTATATTTTGGCGGGATACTGTGAAGTGTGATTTCCTTGCTCCGCCTACACTTCACTGTACAGACATGTATATATCGGAGGGACAATCAACCTTTTGTCTTTCTTATATCTATGGTAATCCTGAAAGGAAGCCAAGACAACAACAGTGGCAAAAGATGGAAGCTCTAGCTAAAGCTGGCCTTTATCAGAGTAACCAAGAGTGGTGTTTGGAGATTCAACGAGATTAAACAAAACTCTGAAAAGCTTGGAGGTCCTTTAAGGCCAGAATGGCAATTTGGTAACTTCAGAAGAATGTTAAAAATGTCGGGTCTTCATGAAGTCAAAACCTATGGAGGGGATTTTACTTGGATAGGAAACAGAAGCACAGGTACGATCAAATCTAAACTCGATAGAGTTCTAGCTACTGCTGATTGGAAAGATAGTTACCCCAAGGCGTTGGTTCAATTGCTAGAGTGGGTTGGATCAGATCATCGGCCACTACTTCTTCAGACTGAAGACAATAAATGGAGAGGTAAAAGCATGTTTCGATATGATAATCGCTGGAGGTTCTACAAAGACAGTTACAAAGCACTACAGACCACATGTGATCAAAGCTGCAAAGACCTACCTCCTCATCTTTTTAATGAAGCTCTAACAAGATGCAGAAACAGTCTATCCCGCTGGAAATCTGATCATCAACTCAATTCCCAGAAAAAGATCCAGCAACTTCAACAAGCTCTCCATACAGCGTATGATTCTGCTGCTATTGACTATCATTATATTGCGAATTTGAAATCTCAATTGCAGCATGAATATCGTATGGAAGAAGAGTTCTGGAGAACTAAGAGCAGAGTACAGTGGATGCAAGCGGGGGATAAAAACACAAAGTATTTCCACGCTAAAACGAAACAAAGGAGAAGTCATAATCGTATTACTTCTCTTCAGGACATGGAAGGAATCTCAAACAAACGGATAAAGAGATACATAATCTGATCCATTCATATTTCACTGACATTTATTCTTCCTCTGGCAGTAAGCATTTGGATCAGATTATGCAACATATTGAGCCTCGAGTAACTGATGCTATGAACCAGCGACTGACTAAGCAAGTGTTTGAGGAGGAAATTCTTCAAGCTCTATCCCATATGAATGTGGACAAGTCTCCAGGTCCTGATGGGCTAAATGTTGGCTTCTATAAGCATCACTGGGATACTGTGAAATCAGGTGTGGTTAATTTCATTCAGTATTTCTTCAAAACTGGATACTTAGATCCAAAAATTAACCACACTTATATCTGTTTAGTGCCCAAAATTACCTCTCCACTACAGGTCAAGGATTTTAGACCTATTAGTTTGTGCAATATAGCATATAAGCTTATATCCAAAATTCTTGTTGATAGGCTAAAGCCTTGGTTACATCATTTAATCTCAGAATTCCAATCAGCTTTTATCCAGGCCGCCTCATTACTGATAATGTCATTATCACGCATGAGCTTTTACATTCTTTGCGCACTAAAAGAATCAAGACCCCTTACATGACGCTTAAACTTGATATAGCTAAAGCTTTTGACAAAGTTGAGTGGTCTTATTTGAATGCTATATTAAAACGTTTGGATTTGCAGACCAATGGTGCAATTGGGTCATGAAATGTGTTACTTCGGTCAGCTACTCAGTGCTTATTAATGGCTCACCTACAAAGAAGATCATTCCACAAAGAGGGCTCCGTCAAGGTGATCCATTATCCCCTTATCTTTATCTTTTATGCACTGAAGGCCTATCAGCTTTGCTAAATGAGGCAGTCAAAAAGAATTTAATACATGGTTTTAAAGCAAGCAAAAATGGTCCATCCATATCTCACATGCTATTTGCTGATGACTCCCTCTTATTTTGTCAAGCTAAAGAAGAAGAATGCCAGCAAATTCTCAAACTCTTAGATACTTATGCACAAGCTTCTGGCCAGCATGTCAATTTCCAGAAGTCAGCCCTATTATTTGGGAAGAATGTCTCTTTGGAATCCAGAATACTATCACAACTCTAACAGGTATCTCTAGTGTGGGTGGTTTTGGTAAATATCTGGGATTACCTGAAGTCATTGGCAGAAATAAGTATGACGTATTTTCCTACCTTTCTCAAAGAGTTCAAAATAAGCTGGAAAATTGGTACTCAAAGCTTTTATCTCAAGCTGGCAAGGAAGTTTTAATCAAATCAGTAGCTACTGCCTTACCCACCTATACAATGTCATGTTTTCTTTTACCTAAAAGGTTGCTCTGTCAAATTACAGCCCAAATCAAAAGGTTCTGGTGGTCAAGCAGCAAAGACAAGCATAAAATTCCATGGGTTGCCTGGCACAAGATGACTAATTTAAAGATGTATGGCGGCATGGGCTTCAAAGATCTTGCTCATTTCAACACTGCCTTATTAGCCAAGCAGAGCTGGCGTATACTCAAGGAACCGGACTCTCTTCTCAGCAGAGTTCTAAAGGCTAATATTTTTCAAGAACCAGTCTTCTGAATGCACATGTGGGTCATCGTCCTAGTCATGCATGGAGAAGCATTATTCAAGGTACTCATCTCATTAAACAAGGGCTAAAATGGAGCATAGGTGATGGGCTCTCTGTTAAAGCAGGAATTGATCCTTGGATTGACCATCCACCGCGTCCTGCTAGATGCTTGAATAATGATATCTCTGATCATTTAAAAGTTGCAGATTTAATGCTCCCTAACTCAGTAGCCTGGGATCCCTCTAAGCTTCAGGAGAACATTCAACCTGAAGATATACCATTGATTAGGCGCATTCAACCAAAAATTCTCAAGACTGGTGATGTCCCCACCTGGATTTTTACGAGAGATGGTCAGTATTCTGTGAAATCTGGATACCATCAACTTACTAAACCTCCAGGAGACAACTCTGCTGGTCATCCTTCCATTCATGATTTATGGAAAACAATTTGGGCATTACAAGTGCCACCTAAAATAAAGCATTTCTGGTGGCGTATCTTACATAATGCTCTTCCTGTTGCAGCTAATGTAGCTCACAGAGGAATACGTATCTCAAAGGACTGCTTATTCTGCGGAGAGGAAACAGAAAACCCAACTGCATCTCTTCTTTCAATGCCGATTTGCGAAGGAGATATGGGAATTATCCTCTCACAATATTCCCACAGGTCAGGCTCAAGATCTGCAACCTATTACTGATATACTTAAACATTGGCTGCCCACTAAATCCTCTGAACTCTCCAAGAGTCTTCTTTTTCCTTACATTGGATGGCGCATCTGGAAAGCCCGTAATGACCTACTGTATAATAACAAACGTTGGGCTATCCCTGACATTATTAATCAAGCCATCATGGATTTGCAGTTGTGGAAGGATGCACATCAAGCTAGCAATGATAGCATTAATAATCCTCATGCTAGAAAGCAATCTAATGTCTCCACGACTCAACCAGTAATATCTCTCACCACTCCTTTCTATTGTTGCACAGATGGCTCTTGGATTAACAGTGACAGAGCAATGCTGGAATTGGTTGGAGTCTTCATGACATTCACGGAAGATGCATTATCAAGGGTTCTTCTTCTGTGGAGCCCACCTCTTCTGTATTAGAAACGGAAGCCATTGCTCTTCGTCAAGCCCTGTTCCAGCTGAAGCGTTTAAACTATAGACAGGTTACATTCTGTGGGGACTCAGCAACATTATATCACTACCTTGAAAAGGCTGCAAAACAGAGCCATCCTCCTCCTGGGAATATGGAGATTCAGCGCTATATTGATGACATTCTGGGACTGTCTAATGGTGCTTACCTTTTTAAGTTTATACCCCGATCAGCAAACTCATTAGCTGATTCATTAGCAAAAGAAGCTAGGCTTAAAAAATCTCCTCTTGTTGTATCTTGGACTTATTAAGTATGTGTTCAATCCTTGTACCAAACTTGCTATATCTAATAAATATAGTTGGCCGACAAAAAAAAAAAAAAAAAAAAAAAAATCATTGACTTTGTAGTTGTACATGATTAATCGTCTGCATTTATGAGAGGACCCATCTTAATCGTATTTCTGCTTCTTCTTTTTTGACAATCTAAATAGCTTGTCTTTAGTGACCATTTCACACATGTATTGCTTCTAATATGAATAATATACGTGACTAAAGAATATAAATAGCTTGTCTTATGTAGAAATGCTTTTGTACAAAATATAACAAATTGTGGTAAGCAATTAGATGGATAAGTTTATTAATTGTCTGAAGCTGTAATGATCTCGTTGTTGTGAGCATTTAAAATATTCAAAAGAGTACCTTTCATTGATCGGTCCAACTATGCAACGATTACTAGTCTCTTTAGACATTAAAATTAATCAAAAGTCAGAGATACTGATTATTGCCATAAAAATATTATAAACCCAACATTAATACTAAGACATGGTGTAAATGTAATGTGGGCACAACCAATTCCAGCTCAAATCTAATCCCATTTTTAAAATTTTAATCATCACGACTACACATGTCTCCATAGATTATCTAATCAAATAAACAGAAGACTTTACTAATTCAAAGACAGATGATAGGAAAGACAAAAGAATGTCGGATCCTCCTGAAGCTTATTTCTCTAATTTCTCGAGGGAGATTTCTAAGTCTTCTCTTGGTTTCTGTTAATTTTGTCTCAAGCCAGATTGTCTCTTCTTTGTTCGTGGTGTGGCCTTGTGGAGTCAAAAGTATATGCAATGGCGACATTGTCTGATGGATTATTCAACGACATGGACGTGTTGGGAGTTATCGGATATGTACTGGAGCAAACCAGGTTCATCTTCCTCGTACCGATTCTCAAACGTCTTGTGAATCTATGTCAGGTTATTTCGGTGTTGTTGTTCATAGATGCAGCTTATATGGCTATAGTTGTAGCCATTGTCAAATTACTTGGACGAACACCACAGAAAGTTCTCAAATGGGAAAGCTTTAAGAACGATGATATTGAGCTTGCTCCTTCTAGTAATCATCCAATGGTTCTCATTCAAATCCCAATCTTCAACGAAAAAGAGGTGACTTATTTTTGAAACAAAATCAGAGCACTCTTCTTATGAAACAGAGAACTCTGATTGACTACAAGAAAAAAAACAGAGAACTCTGTTTCACAAGTGACATGTTCTTGTTACAGGTATGCCAACTTTCTATAGGAGCGGTTTGCAAGCTATCATGGCCACGGGATCGGATGATTGTTCAAGTGCTTGACGATTCAACCGACGAAGAAAGTCAGGTCATTTATTTTAATCATTCTTGAGCTCATTTGAATGTGATTTGATCCTTTGTTTCAGCCTCAGTTACTACAATATCTATAAAGAAGTGCTTTTTTTTTTTAAATAGAAACTGGTTAGATTGGAGTGTAAGAAATGGGAGAGCGAAGGTATAACCATAAAGTCGGAGGTTAGAAAAGGTAGAGACGGTTTCAAAGCAGGAGCTCTCACTGCAGGAATGAAGCATAGTTATGTGGATGAATACAAGTGCGAGTTTGTTGTTATATTTGATGCTGATTTTCAGCCTGAACCTGATTTTCTTGAACGTACTATTCCTTTTCTTGTCCACAACCCTGAGATAGCTCTTGTACAGGCCGGTTGGAAATACGGTTAGATCTTACTTCTTCACTTCCGAGTTAGCTATAAAGACCCGCTGTAGTCGATTTGTTAAATCGATTATGCTTTTGTGTGCGTAACAGGGAATGCCGACGAGTGTTGTATGACAAGAATACAAGAGATGTCTCTTAACTACCATTTTGCAGTGGAGCAAAAGTCTGGATCCTCCATACTTGGTTTCTTTGGATTCAATGGTGGAACCTCCATAAACATGCCCTTGTGTGTCTTGTATTATGTGATCCTAATTTGAGTGAATAAAAGAACATTGTTGACTTTAGGTACTGCTGGTGTGTGGAGAATTAAAGCTCTGAATGAGGCCGAAGGATGGAAGGACCGCACGATAGTCGAGGACATGGATTTAGCGGTTAGAGCTTATTTACGTGGCTCGAAGTTTGTGTATGTCGACGATGTCAAGGTTTTTTATCACAAACTTTCCAATTGAACGCAATGATTCAACTTGTACTGAAATTATCTGACTAAACTTTGGGAGTTTTATTTCAGGTGAAAAATGAGCTACCGAGCTCATTTCAAGCATACCGGTATCAGCAACATCGTTGGTCTTGCGGTCCAGCGAACCTCCTCAAGAAAATTGCAATGGAGATCATCAAAAACCAGGTTGATAGATTACATAAATCCCCAAATCTATTTCCTTTTGGAACACAAATATAGTTCAATGACCTTTTGTGTTCCATGTTTGAAACAGAATGTGTCATTATGGAAGAAGGTGTATTTGATATACAACTTCTTCTTTTTGAGGAAGATTGTTGTACACATGTTCACATTCGTCTTCTACTGCGTGATTTTGCCTGCTACCGTTATATTCCCGGAGATCGAAGTCCCTAAATGGACAACTATCTACATTCCTGCTACCATCACTATCCTAAACGCTATTGCAACACCTAAATCATTTTACCTCATACTATACTGGATCTTATTTGAAAACGTAATGGCAATGCATAGAACTAAAGGAACTCTCATTGGATTGCTAGAGACTAGTAGAGTTAAAGAATGGGTTGTTACACAAAAGCTAGGAGAGAGTAATACTCTCAGGGAAAACCTCATTCCTCCTGCTCACTATAGCTTCCCTGAGAGGTTTGAACCTTTTTCCTCACATAGATTTATCGCGCGAAATGGCTATTAAAACGATGATATGATTTTGAATTTGTGCAGACTTCGATGGCGAGAGATAATGGTTGGAATGTATCTCTTCATATGTGGATACTATGACTTTGTGTTCGGGAGGACATACCTTTATGTGTATCTTTTCTTGCAGTCTATTGCCTTCTTCGTTGTTGGAGTTGGCTACATTGGAATGTCGGTTCCAAGTAAGCCGGTTCCTAGTAACCACTAACACATCTAACTTCTTTCTTCTCCTACACATTCATTCTTTCAAAAGGTCCGATTGTACAGAGATTAAAAGATGTGGTTTGTCATAATGTTACAATTTTATTGGAAGATTCATTGTAACGATCTAACTTCGAGTTCTATCACCATTCAAGACTCATTATAGTCCGACCATTAAAAGAAACAGTTGATGTGAGCAAGCTTTACTCACTTAATTGAACAAAAAAGAAAACATTTGGCATCCTTCGTTATCCACCTCATTCCAAAGTTTTAAGAGTACAACAAAAAAAAAAAACAGTTAAAATAGACCCTTTCATTTTATCCTACTAGACACTCTAATAACCATTAAAGAAAAAAAAACATTTCACAATTACAATTCAAGAAAGATTATGAACATTATGACATCAAAATAATAAAATTTCAAGGCTCCCATTAGATGGAGCAAAGTGGGAAAAAATATTGAAAAAGAGATATTTCAATTTCTTTTTATCCCTTAGGTTTTAGGTCACGAACGGGAAATAATACGTGTGTAGAGGAACTCATTCCACGTGTCAGGTAAACCGGGAAGACACCAATGGATACAATCGGCGTAAGTGTTGGGATCGGCTTGTTGCTCCGGCGTCAGCATTTTGCCTTGTCGGATTGTGTGAACCGAAGTGTGAGCATCTTTCCGGTATTCAGAGAGTTTGGTAATGTTGAGAAAGTAAACCGGAACTTTAAGAGAACGCGTGACGTTTTCCGCTACTGAAAACAGTCTGTAGTCTGTTCCTACGCTGAATGGCATTGACATGTTTAGGATTGGTGTCGTCTCTAATGCACACTTTATCCCATCTGGATTCTCCCAATCCAAGCTCCTATAAGATATAATAACAACTATTATAAACTATATTTTGATTAGTTAAGATAAACACATACAATTATAAGTGGTGGTTTCACCAACTCGTTAAAATGAAAGATTAGAGTTTTTATGTTTTTAGCTGATTTTTGTATATTATGTGGGGGTTTTCAAAGGACAACGACTTGTTATCTATTTTTCTGGTAGTTGCTTGGTTTTCAAGTTAAGGTACGTCCCCAGGTTTAAAATTAAAATATTATGTTCTGGTGTTTATAAATGATTACACTAGCCAAAGAAATATATAAAGCAATGTCATATTATAACAAAATAAAAAAATTGGCAATCTATGAATAACCTAAACCAGAGAAAAACAGATTGATCAACCTTTTTCTGTTCTAAATCAACTCAAATCACATTTGAAATCATTTTGGTAAGGAAAAGTTTTAAAATAGATTATTACCAACTCTCACGTATAATATTTAATTAGCAGGTCAATTAAATGGAGTTAGTACGAATTAAGTTCTAAGAAACACATATGTCACTCAAACACTAAAACTAAATTCTGTAATCATTTAAAAGGTGACACTAGTCAAACATGGAGAGTGACCTATCAATTTAATTGTCAGTAATTTCATATTGCAAGCAAAGCATCACTAGCTAAAATCTGTGTATTAAGCAACAATTAAGAAAACAAGAAAAGATAATTACTTGATGTGAAGAGGAGACATGCTAGCAAAGAAGACAGTGGTACGTAGAGGATCAATATTTCGTTCAACCCAATCTCCCCAAGTCCTCATCACTCTCCTATACGCTACTGGCCGTTCGATCTCCTCATACTCGGTATCGCCTTTATCGAACGATCCGCGTCTGATTTCATCATCAAATTCCACAATCTCAATCCATAAACTTTGTAAATACATAACACAACAAATATAGAGATAAACATTGTGAAGTAGTACACTTACAGGACTTTCATAGCGAATGTGTTCATCCACCAAATGTAAGTGTTGAAAACAAGAAAGTCAACGCCTTTCCAGTTGACTCCATGCTTCTCAATGGACTCAGGCATTATTATACGGTTAAGTATACTATGCATATTTGGATCATCTGAATTTGATTCCACCAAAAATGGTGCCCAATAAAACTCCACCGTCGCATTATAATCCTTTTTTAAACCCAAAAAAACTCAAACATTAATTACTATAAATAATCCACACTTATCTTAACTACTCTCGAAAATCAGCAACTCCACCAAACGCATTATCATTATCATAACAAATAAATTAGTCAATTTTAATTACCTCAACTCGGAAAACGGAAAGAGAACCGGTTTTGTTCAAGCTTTTTCGACCGGGAGGAACCACTGATTGAACCAAACAAACCATTGATTCCCATTGGTTCCGGTTTAGGGAATCTCCAACGAACATCATTCTCTTGTTCCTTAGCTTCTCCAACAGCAATTTCGCTTTGAACCTTCACCAAATCAAACAAAACCGGAAACGAAATTAGAGAAACCAAAACTAAACCAACCCAAAGAATCGATGAAACAAAAACAGAGCTTTTTTCCCGGTTTACTTTGGTAAAGAACAGTCTCTTGGTTGCCATCTCCAATTCTGATACAGAGAATCTTTTCTTCCATTTCTCATGCAAGTCACTTGCGCCGTCAAGAACTCACACTGATCCTCTTTATACAACGGATGTGTCTCGTTATCGAAAACCCATTCTCCGGTGAACAAATCACACTCCTCCGGCGGCAATTCCACGTCTTCTTCATCCTCCGTGGCAGCGAAAAGCTCAATCTTTTTCACTTCCTCTGTTTTCGATACCTCCTCCTTAACTGGTTCTGCTGCGTCTTTAACTGAATCTTGATCTAAGTCTGGGATTTTAACCGATTCCTGAATTGGGTCTGAGTTCTTGATAGGTTCTTGAACCGGTAGTGTTGTAGTCTCTGTGATCGGTGTCGTCTCGTCGTGGACGTCGTTAGGTTTTGAGGTGGAGAAAGGAAACTCTGCGATGGATTTGACGTCTTCATTGTACATGAAGATCCCGAAGAGGAAAACAGAGAAGACGACGACGAAGATTGAGAGATTACTGTTCTTCCTCTGTTTCATTGTCACTCCTGTTTCGAACAATGGAAATTTTCTTCTCAAAGGTTGCATCTGTTTTTTTTTTTTAATATAAAGAGAAGAATTGAAACTGAAAAACGAAAAGAAAAAAGAAAAAATAATTCTCTTCGTGAAATGTCAGTATGTTTGTGAGAGTCAGGAGAAAGATCGATGGAAATATAAGAGCAACGAATAAAGGAAATAAAAATTAAATTTGTAAAAAATTGTTATTGTTTGACGTTAATTAGTTTCGTGATTAGTAGTTTGGTGAGATGGGTTTATCTTGAACTGGTTTTTAAAGGCTTTTCAGGTGAAGAAATTCTTTAAAAACAAAAGAAAACAAAGTTGCTCTGTATCGTTTTCTTTTTCTTTAAAATGTAACCTCATTCGCTTAACTAATCTATTTTGAAGTTGTTGTTATAGCAAAGTAGAGTTTGGAGCGAAGAGTAGATTCAAAGATTCTAAAAGATTGTCTCAATCCTCACCTAAAGAAAGGGACCATAGAAACAACAATTGTACAAGTAGCAAACTAATAACAATTACCTTTGCTTGAACACTTTTAGAAGCATGTTTTTTTCCAATTTATTTACTTGTATAATAGCACCAAAGATTCTGATTGTTTTACATTTTCGGTTCATGGATTAAAGAAAAAAGTGGTTTCTTTCCTAAACATAATGTTCTATGAACAATAGGGATCCAACATGAAATTGAATAATTGATGTCTCATGTGCCAGTTAATCTGATTATGTAGTTAATCTGGTTATGTTTCCGTGTAATTCACCAAACATGCATATTAAAGCAAAGATCAGTTGTATATTAAACACAAGTTTACTCCTCCTAATCACCAAATCTAAAAGTAGATTAGCACCAAATTAATCTTACGTTTTGGGATAAGAAACTAATCTTTCGTTTTCTGTAACAATCATGTTTCCATCGCATGTTGAGGGTGAAGCATCCGTGTTCGTTAAGAGAGAAATAAATAAATGTATATTCCAAAATCAATATCAATAAATGAAAATTTAAAAGACAGGTCAAAAACTCAAAATGATATACATACGAAGCTTTCTGTTTGAGAGAAGTAAAGGCTAAGGAATCTCATACACACACATATATACGGAGGCACCAACCATTACCAATCCATTTTATTTACATCATCTTCTACATGTATATGTAAAGTTATATATTTATTTTCTTGGCAGATTCTGATTTGTATACTTTATTATGACTCCATTTGGTTTTAGTTGTTAGTTCAATATTTGAATCCTTTTGCTTTGAACCAAAGCCAAAGGAACCCAGCCCAAACCTTTTGTACTTTGTTTGTGTGAGTCAGATACACACATCGGATAATATACTTACCAATTACCACTCTTATTCTATAATGGTTTTGCACTTTTGCTTGAAGTTCACCAACGTGCGTAATGAATGATGTGTCTGATGCACACGTGCGTCCAAAAACTTCTGGTATTTTCTTATCAAAAAAACGTTTGAAGAGAAAATACTTTAATCTACATTTTTATCTAATCAAAATTATAAACACTAGATGAATACCCACGCTACGCGTGGGTTTGTTTTGAAAATTGTGAAGAAAAAATTATTGATTGTTTTTGCTAATTTATGTTTATTTTTTATTTTTTATTATGTAGTTAATAAAACTAAATCTATCTTATGTAGTTACAATTTTTAAGATTAGATCTATTTTTTTACTTGAAATATAACCCGGAAAAAAGACTTACTTGTCAGCTGAGACCTCTTGCTTGTTCCCGTAATATCCTTCATCGTCCTCATGGCTCTGCTAGTTGGTCAGAAGGTACTTTATCAGCTTTCTCAATATCTATTATGGGTACAAAGTTTTTTTTATCCTTTTTGAATGGGATTCATTGAACTCTCTCGTTTATATTTTCCGGGGATACAAAAGTTCTAGCTGCAGTATATGGACCTAAAGCAGGAACGAAGAATAACGAAAATGCTGAGAAGGCTTGTTTTGAAGTCATATGGAAGCCTTAAACCGGATAGATTGGTAATCGTAAATGCGTTTAGTTGTTCAGAAGGAGGCTTGTTTTGTTGCTTGAGTATGTCGTACAGGTGATTCTTGGTTTTTAGATCTGAATTACTTTTGCTTTGAATATTGATAGGAAAAGTTGAAAGGGAGTATGAAACGATACTGAAAAGGACGCTACAGAGTATTTGTGTTTTGACAGTTGTTCCAAATACCACCACCTCAGTGATAATTCAGGTGAGTAGCTATTCAATGATGTGTATATCGATATTGTCAACTTGAGTTGTACTGATGTTTTCATTTTGTAATTCCCGTGTAGGTTGTACATGATGGTGGTTCTGTATCGTCTTTATGTTCCTTGCACCTTGGTAAACATTTACTGATGCTGTCTGAAACACATATAATCCGGTATAAACAATGTCTGTTTGAGTATTTATAGAGTTTATAGTAGTGAAAGTTTGTAATCCCATAAGCTGAGAGTGTGAATATGTTTTTGTGTAACTTTTACCGTGGCCTCCATTCTGGCAGTTGGAAGGTAGAAAACGTTTGTTCTAAAGAAATATGATGTACAGAAAGGGAGACTATGAAGGATGAAATTTACGAAGTCGAAAAAATTGCGTTGAGATTCTTCTTCTTTCATATTGAACGATCGAGCAGAGAGTGGGAGAGATTTATTTTGTTAAAGTTTTGTAGGGAATTAGAATATTTGTTGGGTTTAGAAGCATTAAACCATTACTAAAATGGGCTAGATCCATTAATATTGCACTCTAATAGATTCTAAAACACATATGGCCCATCCGTCATGGGCTATTTTGTTTACTTCATTTGACACTTATAATTAGAAGCTGATGTGTATTAATGAAATATTTTGATTGGACGAATAAAAAGCTGATGTGTCATCTCCAGAAAAGCCAAAAATGCTGACGTGGCGGAAAGATGGAGAGAGATAGCCTCCTTTCATATATATGATTTAGACTTTCATTAAACTTCACCATTTTATGCATCCATTAATTTGTTATGGTCTAACATTTGATTGTCCGCTAGATTAACTTCTCTGGTCAAGTTACATCAATGATACCACATGCTACCAATCACACTAAGTTCCCAAAAGTTAAAAATAAAAAATAAAAAAAATCGTAAAATGATAGCCAAGTAGCAGTCTCATTAACTCATTCCAAACCCACACTATATAGATGGCATGACCTAACTTGAATTCCTCGAAATCTCAATCCATCTTTTTGCCATAAATATATCATAAAAAAGGAGTGCCTAATCTAATACGTAACAGTCTATAATTTTAAGGGAAAAAAACCATGTGATTTGTGATAAGGGAAGGGAATTAGGGTGATGAAGAAATAAAATTTTGTAGTTAATTACGGTGATTGAGAACTTAACGCCTGTTTTGAAGTCCATCGGATGTAATCCTATAAGTTTTTCCACACACTAACGACAATCTTTCTAGGTAGGCGTATCCATGTTGCTTGTAGAACATGTACTGCTTAAGTGGTTTGAGCGCCAGCAGCTTCAAATATCGTTCTTTACCATTTTTCCGTTGGAGGTTTTCATGATATAGATTCTGTTTATAGCCGGGGAATTTGAAGCCGCAAAGCTCGAAGTAATCCCGAGTGTGTGAAAAAACCGGTATTGTGGCCGTCGAAAATTTGACCTCGACACACTCGGTAATCCTCCTCAACCACTAGATCACCATAAGTTGGTTAAAAATTTTGTTGTCGAAAGAATCCATCTTCACTCACTCATTGTATGTAATGGGATAATGGGAAAATAAGTAATGTATTATTATTGCTTGACCATTTCATAGCTTGAAAATTACAAGAGATTGAAGAAAAAAACGAATATAGAAACTAAAGAGCTCACTCTAGTTACGTTTCTATATATATTTTTCTCGTAATGACTACAAACCATATACTAACAGTAACAACTAACGAAAGTGACAAAAATTAAAGAATTAAATTTGCGGAGATGGCACAAAAGCAATCTATAAAACCATATTTTTGTGCTTATGCCACAGTCTGCTCCTTCTCTCTGTACATTTGCTCAGCCCACGACATTATCCGAACCCTCTCGTTCATTCCAAAGCTTCTCTCAGACACCACACTGTCTTTAACCAAAGAGTTAACCCATGACACATCTGGCTCGTCTCTGTAATCTCTAGCTGCATTATTGTTGTTGTTTCCATGGATTCCAAAGGAAACGCTTCTTCTCATCTTATTCAGCTCTTCTCCTTTCATTCCCCATTCGAGCTTCCCGTTTGGAGATCCCCAATCCGAGAGATTCGACTGCGGTGCTGCTTGAGTAGCCGGTTTGAAACTCAAGCTGCGTTTCGCAAAGGCGGATGATCTCGCTTTCATCACTGCAACCGCTGCAGCTGTTGAAGATTCGAACCCGTGGTGAGATGGCGGTTGCCTCACCGGGGAAGACGGATAATGTTGGTTCATGTTTTGACCCATTTGAGAATTCCTACTTGGAGAGGAAACATAAGATCCGAAAGTCTCTTCGACATTGTTGCCAAAACCGCGGAGTCTCAGTTCCATCTCCATCTCCATATCGATATCTCTAGCGCTCAGTGTCGACTTCAATCTGCTTCCACCATTGAGCTGCAAAGCCGGAGGAGTAAGGGTATTGACTCTGTTCTGCCATGATCCACCATTTCTTGGAGAGGAAGGAACACCATTAGCCATTGGAGAAACCGGAGGAGTCGAAACTCCTGAAGAATAAGCAAGAGGAGACAACCCCGGCATCATCTCTAAGCTGTTAAACGGAGACTGAGCCACGGCAGAGCCAGTTGATGCATTGACAGGTCTCATTTCTTCGCGTTTATGCGCAAAGAAACAAACTTTCCTTGCACAACCCGTCTCATCTTTACAAAGCCGGGTTTTATACTGCGCCGGGTGAAGCCACGACTCGAAAACCCCGTGAGCATACTCGCAAGAATCTCCTTTCGGGCATGTCCCTTTACGGAACTCGGGACAGGGGACACACGTGTAAGGATACTTCCTCGGATCTCTCCTCCTCGCGTTCTCTCCCGGATGAACAAAAGCACACTCGGTCCAATCATGCGAATAAGCCCTGGAACATGGCTTAACCTTAAAGCTATACATCCTAAACTCATCACTTCCATAAACCCCTTCGTTAATATCTGGTAAAGAAGCATCAGCCGGATACTTAGACACGATCTTGATCTCTTCTTCAACCGCCTCGTCGACCAATCCGCTAACACCGCCTCCTCTTAGCAACAACTCAACCGCTTTCCTCCTCGGACTAGTCACAAATCTCGAAACCCGAACAAACACATCCAAAGGTTGATTCCCATTAGCATCAACAGAGTTAACCAAAGCAGAAGCATCAAGCAAGGCATTGATGACTTCAATCATATTCACAGAACAACCAGCAACAGCACAGTGAAGCGCAGTGACTCTCTCTTCACCACAAGCTCTGTTCACATCAGACTTACCAGTGGAAATGATGAAAGTCAAAACCTTTACGCTTCCATACATAGCTGCAACCATTAAAGGTGTTCTTTCTTCAAGACCCATCTTCTTAGACCCGACCCGTCTACAATACCATAACCCTGGCTCATCCAAATCAAGACCTTTCTCTTCAACCTCTCTCTTGAACGAGTCAAGATCATCACAAGCGGCGAATTCGAGGAGAAGCATTGTTTCTTCTTCCTTTTGCCTTGATTCGATTCCTGTTAAGGTTCTTGAAGAGCAGAGATTGCTCTTTGGTCCACTGCACATAATATTATCCTGTGGATTCAAAAAAAGTAATTGATGATGAGAAACTGATAGAGAATAAATCTCGATTTTAAGCTCTATTTCTTTGTAACCTTTTCATTTCTCTAAGATTCTTCTTATGCAGAATTTGATGCCGCAATTTTAGCGGATATAAATAAGGTAAGTAAAGTACTTTCTACTAAGACAAGCCAACGACCGGTTCTACTCTTCTCCGTTGAAAAATTCCAACCAAATCTTTTTTTTTATCAAGAAACAAGTCAAAGATAAATCAAGAAACTCAAAGATTTCAGTTCAAGAAACTAAAGAGATTTTCTAGAAATAGCAAGACTTGGGAACCTAGCTAAACCCATAAACGAAACGAAATTAGAAATTCCATAGAAGAAGATTCAAGAAGAAAAGGCACAAACCTGGAATGAAATTGAGAAGAAAGTTGGAAGCTTTTTTGATGGAATTAGGTGATGATGAAGAAACAAGTGGGAAATGTGTTTAGGGGTTTTTTAAAGAAGAATGGAGTTGTGAGGAGGATTCTTTAAAAGGTGCTTCTTTGCAATGAAGGAGAGAGGAAGCTGCCTTCTTTCTTTCCTTTTTTCTTTTTCTTGGTCTTCTTTTTCTTTTTTAATACTATATTTATTTGGAATACTTTCTTTGTTCCTCGAGATATATATAGATATGGTTTAGGTCAAAAGTCAAAAAAGTTGAAACCAAAACTTTCAAAGGTGAGCCATTGTCGCTCCTCTGCTGACTCTTCTCTACTCGTATACTGACATGGAAAATAATTGATAATCATCTATTAATTTCTCCTCATTTAAGAAAATAGATTTATTATTATTCGTTTTGAATTGTGTTGGTTTTGGATTCTAATAATTCGATTTTGATATAGTTGTGAGTGGAAATGGTAAAGTTTGGAGTTGGGGGAGTGTAAAAGATGGATTCACCACTTTAACCTCTTAAGTCAAAATTCAGACTGGTTACGCCGGTAACACTTCAACAACGCGTGTGCGTGATCCATCACACACAACTAGCACGCGCTTTTCAAGAGCACGTGAAAGAGACTTTTACCAGTCAACTCTACCACTTGCTTCAGCTGTTGTTTCTTTTTTTGTTATCATGATTTTAATTAAGCTGTCTATTTCCATTAAAATCCGAGCCAAACCCAAATTAATGGAGGCAGAGAGATTATCAATCACATACCATACCACTAAGCGATTCAAAAAAAAAAATCAATTATCATTTTTTGATGTTTTATTGAAGAGAGAAATTTTAAAAATCATGAAACAGTAAAACATCAACTTCTGTGAAAGTGGAAGGAAAAGACTAAAGAGAGTAAAAAGAAGAAGCAATATACGATTTTTACATTACAAAATACTAAACAGAATCAGGGAAAAAAAAACAAATCAATTAGCTAACTTTTGGTATGGAAAAAAATTTACAAGGAGGAGAGATATGATGTGGGAGTGGCGTGTGAAGAGAGAGTCAGTGACGCGTTCTCTAATCTTCGTTCCCTTTGGGTGGGCGACAAAAATAAAAAAATGTCTTCACTTTCGCTGCCATTATTAAATTAAACGCAACCCAAATCTCTATTCTTAATAATTGATCACACAAAACATGAATGTTATTGTTTTATTCTTTCATTTGTTAATGGCTTAATGCGATCATTATTACTTTGTGTGGGAATCTATGGACTTTCGGCAACTTTGAGTTTGGGGTCATATTGTCATATGTATAAGTTGGTTGAAGAGTCAAAACTTGGAACAATAGAGACTGCATTTTGGGGTCAAAATCATTATTATATTTTATTTATCTAATGCAAATCTTCCAATTATTGGGGTTTTCCTCGAATTTTCCACAGAGTTTTTTTCGTTAAGTCAAATTTTGGACTGCCAAAAAAAGCATACAATTATTATGATGGAGATGTCCTTAGAAAGACCAAATAAAATACTAGTATTATGACGGAAATCAAGAAGTCATATTTTCCGTTATAATAGTTCTATATTATCCAGAAAATAAACGATTATGTATGAATAACTTTTTATGAAAAATGGATTACTGGAACTAAGGATGTTTAAAGGATAAAGCATTACGATATAAGGTTGTCCTAGATTTTTGAGTAACCTGAATTAAGCCTAATATTAGAGAAATTGGAAACTAGTTTCTAGCTGCTACTTGGTGCTTTTGCTCTTCTTTGATGAGCTCATTCTTTTGTATAGACCTCTCTAGTTGGTTGTGGAGATGGTGCTAGTGTAGAAAGTTTGTTTCAGTGTTCCTTGTGACTGATTCGTTGTAATATTTTCGATCCCTTTGGTGGATTAATATATTAACTCAACTGAAAAAAAAAAAAAAAAAAAATTCTAGCTGCTACTTCGGCCCAATGGACCCAAATTCATAGGCCACTAGTTTCTAATGACCCAATATTGGCCGCAATTTGTCGATCACCTAAGGATCTAATGTCTTTTTAAAGCGAAATGCACATAACACGTATGAATTCTTAACCCAGTAATAAAAGCACAAACAAACAAAGCCCAGTATATAATTCATCCACAGATGTTCGGGCCTAGTGATTGAAGCCTTAGTTTTTTATAGTAGTCCACTTGAGTACGAGGTTTATACATGTACTTGTTGGCAGACAAATAATCCCAAAAACATCTATAAATATTTGGACTGATCCTACGTGTGATCAGTGGCGGATCTAGGAAATATTTTTACCGGGGGCAAAATATTATATCGATGTTTAAAAATAAAAAATAATTTATTATTATATTATTATTATTTATATTTTCAATATTGTTACATTATTATTATTTAT